TTGTGCTCTAGTTGTGCTCTAAGGCGGCCCCTGGGGTACGCGGTCGCCTGCCCTCCCCGCCCCCGGACCTTCAATCCGACGGAAGTGGCGCTGCTCCGCGTTTGGTAGAAGTGGCATAACGCACCGTCTCTTGAGCACCGCAAACAAGTCACGGAAGCAATCACTGTTGGTCGCAGCGCCGGCCACGAGCTCCACGTTGCAAGCGCCGGGCAACGCGCCCTGCCGCCCCCTCCGCCGCGGGCCGGACGCGCGGGCAACGCGTTGCGCGATGTTCTGGACACACGAGCAAACGAAATGAAGCCGCAATGATACGCAGGCTGTGTCCCGCGCGGGCCTGCGCCATGGCAAACGCGCGCAAAGCGCGGGAGTCGCGAGCATCGCAGGGCCCTCGCCATGGACAGTCGAGCACCTTCCAAAAGGCAGGGATGGAACAGTAGTAGCACGGCTACGATTTTCAAGTCTACGGATCCACGCACCCCATGCAGCCCTGTAGCCCAACAGCCATATGGCCCCACAGCCCAATAGCCCCATAGCCCAAGAGCCCCATAGCCCTATAGGCCCAAAGCCCCATAGCCATATAGCCCTAGAGCCCATGGCCCTAGAGCCCTATATCCGAGTGGCCCTATAGCCCCATAGCCCTGTTGCCCCGTAGCCCTACAGCCCCATAGCCCTGTAGCCCTAGCCCTATAGCTCTATAGCCTCATATCCCTTTAGCCCAAGAGCCCGATAGCTCAGGAGCGCTATATCCCTATAGCTATATAGCCCCAGAAAAGAACTGAGTGGGGGTTGTCTCCCGTATCATTCATACACATATAGCGCACCGGCAGAAGCAGCTGGGAGTGGCCGAGCGGTCCCGCGCGAACCGCAGCCCACGCAGATTCCCTCAGAGCCCATGGCAAATGAGCGGTACCCCCCACGAGCGCGTCCTTATAGGACAAAGCGCTGTACATTCCCCATATGTATGTATATATATATATATCCATAATCATGTTGTTGTAATGTGTATATAGACCGTGGTATACATAAGTGTGTACGCACAACCTACCTCCATATGCCTTTCCCCTATATATGCATGCACCCATGCATGCACGTACGCGCATGCATGCATTCACGCCGCCACGCAATGCGAGGCTATTCACGCGACGCCACCCGTGCGGAATCGTCCGGTCGCGACGTCCACGTGCAACCATGCGGTACGTAACGGGCCCACAAAGAAAGCGGCTCCGACACGAGCGAGGGATCCATGTCCAAACATAGATTCTCGGAGTGTGCGCCTGGGACGTCCGCCGTCGACATGGACGCGGGTCCTGGCGCGGTTCGGTCTGGCGAACTTCGCCCGCGACTCGCGCTCGCGACCTGCGACACGACGCGCGCCCCGCGCCCGCAACCCGTCTACGATCCGTCTGGCCTGGCGGCACTAACTAGAGCACAACCTAGAGCACAACATAGACCACAACCTAGAGCACAACCTATAGCACAACCTAAAGCACAACTCATGGAGGTATATATTTCCCAACCATCCTGCGGTGTTGGGTCCTCGTTTTGAAAAACGGTGCCCCGCGTTCCCCTCCTTCCTCCCCCTCCTCCTCCCTCCTCCCCCTCCTGCCTCTGATCTCGGCACACCTCTCACGCGTTTCGTAGCCCCATAGGGAGCTCCACCGAAGGCCCCAGTGGGGGTGTTCGCATGCGGTTCCCCCACCCAGGGCAGCGTTTCGTGGCCCCATAGGGAGCTCCACCGAAGGCCCCAGTGTGGGTGTTCGCATGCGGTTCCCCCACCCAGGGCAGCGCTTCGTGGCCCCATAGGGCCCCAGTGGGGGTGTCCACATGCGGTTCCCCCACCCCAGGCAGCGGTTCGTCGCGTTCGGTAGCCCATAGGGAGCTTTTCCTCCGTAGCCCCTGTGGGGTGTTCGCCGCCACGCCCTCCCAGCAGCGTTTCGTACGTTTCGTGGCCCCATAGGGAGCTCCACCGAAGGTCCCGGTGGCGCAGTTCGCATGCGTTCCCCCACCCAGGGCAGCGTTTCGTGGCCCCATAGGGAGCTCCACCGAAGGCCCCAGTGGGGGTGTTCGCATGCGGTTCCCCCACCCATGGCAGCGTTTCGTGGCCCCATAGGGAGCTCCACCGAAGGCCCCAGTGGGGGTGTTCGCATGCGGTTCCCCCACCCAGGGCAGCGTTTCGTAGCCCCATTGGGAGCTCCACCGAAGGCCCCAGTGGGGGTGTTCGCATGCGGTTCCCCCACCCAGGGCAGCGTTTCGTGGCCCCATAGGGAGCTCCACCGAAGGCCCCAGTGGGGGTGTTCGCATGCGGTTACCCCACCCAGGGCAGCGATTCGTAGCCCCATAGGGAGCTCCACCGAAGGCCCCAGTGGGGGTGTTCGCATGCGGTTCCCCCACCCAGGGCAGCGTTTCGTGGCCCCATAGGGAGCTCCACCGAAGGCCCCAGTGGGGGTGTTCGCATGCGGTTCCCCCACCCAGGGCAGCGGTTCGTGGCCCCATAGGGAGCTCCACCGAAGGCCCCAGTGGGGGTGGTCGCATGCGGTTTCCCCACCCAGGGCAGCGTTTCGTGGCACCATAGAGAGCTCCACCGAAGGCCCCAGTGGCGCAGTTCGCATGCGGTTCCCCCACCCAGGGCAGCGTTTCGTAGCCCCATAGGGAGCTCCACGAAGGCCCCAGGTGGGGGTTGTCCGATGCGGTTACCCCCCACCAGGGCCAAGCGTTTCCACTTAACGCCCCGCCCGCTCGGTGGCCCCATAGGGAGCTCCACCGACGGCCCCAGTGGGGGTGTTCGCATGCGGTTCCCCCACCCAGGGCAGCGTTTCGTAGCCCCATAGGGAGCTCCACCGAAGGCCCCAGTGGGGGTGTTCGCATGCGGTTCCCCCACCCAGGGCAGCGTTTCGTGGCCCCATAGGGAGCTCCACCGAAGGCCCCAGTGGGGTGTTCGCATGCGGTTCCCCCACCCAGGGCAGCGTTTCGTAGCCCCATAGGGAGCTCCACCGAAGGCCCCAGTGGGGGTGTTCGCATGCGGTTCCCCCACCCAGGGCAGCGTTTCGTGGCCCCATAGGGAGCTCCACCGAAGGCCCCAGTGGGGGTGTTCGCATGCGGTTCCCCCACCCAGGGCAGCGTTTCGTGGCCCCATAGGGAGCTCCACCGAAGGCCCCAGTGGGGGTGTTCGCATGCGCTTCCCCCACCCAGGGCAGCGTTTCGTGGCACCATAGGGAGCTCCACCGAAGGCCCCAGTGGCGCAGTTCGCATGCGGTTCCCCCACCCAGGGCAGCGTTTCGTGGCCCCATAGGGAGCTCCACCGAAGGCCCCCCCGGTGGCGCAGTCCGCATGCGGTTCCCCCATCCAAGGCAGCGCTTCGTGGCCCCATATGGAGCCCCACCGAAAGCGGCACCCACAACGCGTTACCAACAATTGCTTATGGTTGGGTCTTTCGCCAGGATAATTTTTCCGACCGCTCCTGCGTGCAAGCGTGCAAGCGTATCCGGCGAACGCGGTCGGCAGGCACCAGGGACACCGCGGTCAACACTGAGCCGATCGCCCGTCCAGGTCTCGAGGTCCCCCTCTGCTGAAACAAACGATGCTTTATTGCTTTGCCGGGGAAGCGTCCGGAGCAAGGCGCATGGCGCGAAGCGCCAATGCAGTCTGGTATATATATATATATATATATATATATATACACATCTGGAATGCCCCATTTAGGTAATTGAATGGTTCGCGGTCATGCCCTTTCGGGCTTCCGATGCTCCAAAGCAAGCGGCTCAAGAGGCCCCCACGAGAGCGCAAATACGGCTCGTGGGGGCACTAAGAGGGTCCCCGACGGCCCAAGAAGGCCCCAAGACGGTCCAAGAGGCATGGAGAATGGGCCAAGAAGGACCCAAGAAGGTACAACGATGGGGTCCTCGAGCTGCCATTTCCCGCCCTCCGCCCCAAGATGACCCCCGAGACCGCCTGCAGGCCTCACATATGCACTCAAAAAGCCCGAAGAGCCTACGAAAGGCCCCAGTCAGGCCCAAACGAAACTCCCAAGCGGCCCCCGAGAGGCCCCAAGGCACCTTCAACACCGCCTCCAAGAGGTTTGCGAGAGGCCTCCTAAGATAGCACTACATGCATCCAAGGTGCATTTGACCTACAACCCAGGCTCGGTGGCGGGATTGGCCGAAAGACACTACACGCATGTCTGTATATTACACCAGAGAAACCCAATCAGTGGATGATTTGAAACTTGACACTATGGATCTTGAGATCGATTGTGAGATCGATAATGAGATCGATAGCGCATTCGATGGTGAGGACGATTGTAAGGTCGATCGTGAGACCGAGAATGACATCGATTCAATGAGATTGATAGTGAGATCGATCGCGAGATCGCTCATGCGATCTCTAGTGAGATCGCTTGTGATATTGATAATGAAATCGATTGTGAGATCGATGGTGAGATCGATCGAGAAATCGGTACTAAGATCGATGGTGAGACCGATCGATAAGAAGATCGACCAAGACCCCAGGAACCCGGGAACCTCGCCGCCCTCCGAAATCGAACCCGGGAACCCGGAACCGGAAACCCGGGAACCCAGCCTGCCACTAAAATCGGCGGGGAACTTTCGCCAAATCCTTCAATCTCCGCTAGGACCCCTTCAGTGCAAGCACTGATTGGGGAACGTGCGTATATATATATATATATATATATACACAAACAACAGTTGTAAGTTTGGCCCATCATCAGGGCAGATCGATGGAATGGTCCTTGAACCTGTCTGGGACGTTCCTGTGGCCCTCGCTCCAGCATAGGATTAGACACTTGTGAACCTTCTATGCGCACCATAGATGTCAGTGTTGGTCAAGATGGCAACACGCTCTCGCTTCAGGAATGCATCGGCTCCACCTCCTCCTCCGCCACCACCATGCTGCCAGTCGGCGGGCTGGCGCACGCCTCAGGATACGTATTTCGTGCCGCCCCGCAGACTTGGCATCCCTCATCCACAACACACTCAGAGGCACGCCTTCGTCGGCGCTGGTGTAGGTTCTGCAGTGGGTGCGGTGGGTGCCTGATCCGCGGCGGGAGTCTGAGAGTTCGAAGGGAAGCTGATGCTCCATCTGATTATACCACCACCCATCGTTGCCAGCTCTCCTCCTAACACGCATGATGCAAAAGTGGGAGGGCAGTAAGAACCACAGCTACCGCAGCAGCGCCTAGTCTGCCACGACGACGAGAGGAGAGGACCTCGGCAATGACCGAGGAAGGAGGTGGAGTACAAGCTTCCTAACTGAGGCCGGAAAAGATGGGGTCGGAAGATCGCAACGCATCGCAAATGCATCGCCGGTGCGGCGCGATGAAGAGCTCGGTCCAATCCTCTCCGTTGTCGTCGACGCATCGCCGACACATCGCCAATGTGGCGAGATACGTGGTGCCTATCTGGTCTGGCCGGATGGAGGAGGCCTCCATGGACGGCGGAGGAGGAGGAGGGGGAAGAGGGAGAGGGCGGCGGAGAAAGAGGGCAAGGGCACGCACATTGACCCCATGGCGGGCCAGCGTAGGCGCTGCGGTAGGCCCTGGCGAATGCTCTGGAGTCGGTGCCTGATCCACAGCAGGAATCTGGGAGTTCGGTTTGGATCGGGACGCAGAGCTGCTCCGACACCGAGAAACTCAAGCTAGAGCATAGGAACACGCCAGAAGCACAAATCCTCACGGAGAAGCTCCGCCACAGCGCTGTGCCTCGGTGTGTGTGTGTGTGTGTGTGTCTGTCTGTGTGTGTGTGTGTGCGTGCCTGCGCGTCGGGCCCCCCTGGCGCTCTTCGTCGGTAGTCCTGCCTCTTGAGAAGCAGGACTTCTGGACCAGAAAGCAAACGACACCACCCCACCTTGGGCCCCACGGGCCGCAGCGTATGCCTGGACATCTGGCGTGGTTTTTTTCATGGTATACGCTACGGCCCCCGGTGGGCCGTGGCGCAACACGGAGGGCCGCAGGTGGGGTGGTGATGTGTGCTTTTTGACCGAGCTTAGGGCCCCGGGCGCATCGATCCCCCCACGCGTCCACGTCTTGCTCCAAGTCCCTTGCAATTCTCGCCTGCCACACAAGAGCTGATGCCGTAAACTGCACATGCACGCCGCAGGGTTCCGCGGATCCCACCATGGGAGAGCCCCCTGCCTGCCTCCCAGAAGCCACAGCACGATGATGGGCACGCGCGGCAAAGCGAATGCATGGATACAGGGAAAAGGCGACGGCGCCAGGCGCAAGGCAACGGCACATCCCCCACATCCCCCGCCGATCCGATTTTCCTTGTCGCCGGCCCCCTGGGGGTCGTATCCCCGAGTTGCCCTCCTTGTCTGACCCGCTTGGTTCTGAGTGGAAAAGTCGGAGGCTGGGAGCCAGAAGTCGCCTGCGAGTCGGGGGGGGGGTGCATCCCGACCGACCGACTAGGCGATCCAAAAATTCCCGGCCGTAAACTTCGGACGTCTGCGGGCGGCGCGCATCTGCTGCCCGCGGACGTCCAGCGGTTCAGTGAGCGTGTGTGTGTGTGTGTGTGTGCGTGTGCGTGTGCGTGTGTGTGTGTGTGTGTGTCCGGATCGCCGCTCGCTGGTGCAGTTCTGCCTCGCCGCTGACGTAAAAGTGTGTGTGCGTGTGTGTGTGTGCGTAAGTGAATGTTTGACTGTGTGAACGCGTGGATGTGTGAAAGTATGACTGTGTAAAGGTGCGAATGTGTGACTGTGTGACTGCGTGAATGTGTGTGTGTGTGTGCGTGAGCGTGTGCGTGTGTGTGTGTGTGTGTGTGTGAGTGTGCGCGTTTGTGCGTGAATGTGTGAAAATGTGAATGCGTGCGTGTGTGAAGGGGTGAATGTGTGAATGTGTGAATGTGTGAGTGTGTGAATGTGTGACGGCGTGAATGTGTGAATAAGTGAATGTGCGAATGCGTTATTGCGTGAATGTGTGAATCTGTGCATGTGTGAGTGTGTGCGTGCGTGAATATGTGAACGTGTGACTGAGGGAATTTGTGATTGTATGGATGTGTGAATGTGCGTGTGCGTCTGTGTGTGTGCGTGTGTTTGTGAATGTGTGAATGCGTAGATGCGTGAATGTGTGAATGTGTGAAAATGTGACTGTGTGAATTGGTGCCTGTAAGAATGTGTGGATATGTGAATATCTTAACATGTGAAACTGTGAAAATGTGAGTATGTGAATGTGTGAATGTGTGAGTGTGTGAATGAGTGAGTGTCAGAAAATGTGAATGTGAACATGTGTTCGTGTGTGTGTTTGCATGTGTGAATGTTTGAGTCTCTGGATGTGTGAATGTGTGAGTGTCTAAATGTGTGAATGTCTGAGTGTGCGAATGTGTGAACGTGTCACTGTGAGGAAATGTGACTGTGTGAATGTGTGACTGCGTGAATGTGTGGATGTGTGGATGCGTGAACGTTTGAGCCTGTGAATGTGTGAATGTGTAAATGTGTGAACGTGTGCATGTATAGATGTACGGATGTGCGAATGTGTGTGTGGGTGTGTGAATGTGCAGATGTGTGAACGTGTGAATGTGTGAATGTGTGAATGTGTGGATGCGTCCAAGTGTAAAAGTGTGAATGTGTGAATGTGTAAGTGTGTGTGTGTGTGTCTATGTGTGAATGTGTTAGTGTGTGAATGTGTAATGTTGTGCATGTCTGAATGTGTGAATGTGTAGAGGTGTGAATGCATGTAATCGTGCATGCGAAAATGCGTACATGTGTGAATGTGTGAATGCGTGAATGTGTGGATGTGTGAATGTGTGAATGCGTGAAGGTGTGAATGCGTGAACGTGTGAATGTGCGAATGTGTGGATGGGTGTCTGCGTGGATTGGTGATGGTGTGAATGTGTGAATTCGTGAATACGTGAATGCGTGACTGCGTGAAAGTGTGCATGTCTGAATGTGTGACTGTGTGAATGTGTGGATCGGTGAATGCGAGAATGTGTGAATGTCTGAATGTGTGAATGTGCGAGTGTGTGAGTGTGTAATGTGTGAATGTGTGAATGTGTGAATGTGTGAGCGTGTGTGTGAATGTGTTGAGGTGTTCGTGTGTGAGTGTGTGAATGGGTGAATGTTTGAATGTGTGAATGCGTGAAGGTGTGAACGTGTAAATGTGTGAATGTGAATATATACATATATGTATATATATATACAAATATATATATATATATATATATATATATGTATGTGTATGTGTGTGTGTTGCTCTGGCCTTGTAGCCCGAGAGCGACGGCGGTGCAAGCCCGCTGCGCCGACGACCGGCGAGGAGGGCACAATCCCACCAGCACTCCTGGCGAAGATGGCTTAGGGGATGATGGCGATGGCGATAACGATGACGATGCCGATGACGATGGCAGCATCGCCATCGTCGTCGCCACGTCATCATCGGCTCTTCCCTCCACCTTCTTCCCCTTCGGGGAGGGGGGCGCCCATTCCCCCCCGTAAAACCTCCCCCAGTTCTTCTGGACAGGAGGGGGGAGCGCGGGGGAGTGAAGCGTCCGAGATGGCCCTAGATGGCACCGATATTGCCCCTATAGAACCCAAGGTGCCCACGGAGATGGCGCAACATGGCCCAACATGTTTCATTGCAGCCCCAAGAAGGGTCAGGAAGCTCCATGGCTGCCCCGCCCCCCCTCCCCCTCCCCCCCCAGAAAACACAGCCAAGAGCGCTCCCCAGAGGCCTCCACGAGGCGAATTCTCGAGCTCCTCCAGGGCAGCGCCTACTTGAGACCCCACCTCGTTTGTTTGCTGGCGTGCGAGGTGGCCCCAGGAGGGCCAGAAGAGACGTCCCAGAGGGCCCCAAGAACTCCCCGAGTAGGACCTCAAAAGGGCGCCAAGACGGCCAAAACAGAGACCCAAGATTGCCCCGAATGGCCTGCAGGAGGCTTCCAGATGTCCAGCCATTGGTCGCTGTTGGGAGCCGTCCAAGCAAATCCCCGCTTCGGCCTGACTGGCGCCTCTCCACCCTGTCTCCGACTGGTGCTCCTACACTGCCAGTCTTACGGCATCTCGGCTGGGAGCCGCTTGCCAGATGGACTGGCAGGGATACGTGAAGCGTGAAGAGCTGGGCTGACACAGCTTCCCGCTCAAGCGATGTGCTACCATGTGAGTATACATACATACATATGTGTATGTACATACACAGGCACATATGTACATACACATATATATAGACATAGATACATATGTACATAAACAGATACACGTATACATATGTATATCTATATATGAATATAACTCGGCGACTGTCCAGTAGGTGCTTGAAGACACTTCGCGTTCACGTCGTGTCGGGTGTCCGATGCTCCAGGGCGGCTCAAGATGCCCCCACGAGCGCCCAAGGACCGACGCGCCACCAAGAGGGCCCCCGACGGCCAAGGAAAGCACCGAGACGGCCCAAGAGGCACCCAACATGGCTCAAGAAGGACCCAAGAAGGTACCAAGATGGGCCCTCCGAGCTGCCATGCCGCGCCCACCGCCCTTGGATGACCACCGAGACCGCCAGCCGGCCCCGCAGGTGCACCCAAACAAGCCACATGAGCCCCTCCAGAGGCCCAAAGCAGGCCCAACGAAACTCCCAGGCGGCCCCCGAGAGGCCCCGAGGCACCTCCAACACCGCCACCAAGAGGCGTGCGAGGGGCCTCCCCAGATAGCACTACCTGCATCCAATGTGCATCTGACCTACAACCCAATCTCGGTGGCGGCATTGGCCGCAACACACTACACGCAAGCGTGAATACGTGTATGTGTGTATGTATGTATGCATGCATGTATGCATGCATGTGTGTATGTGTGTATGTGTACATGTATGTGTATAAATTTGTATGTGTTTATATGTACGTGTGTATGTGTGCATGTTTGTGTCTATGTACATGTATATATGGATGGATGTAGACATGTAGGTAGGTAGGTAGTCATGTACATGTGTATGTATGCATGTGTGCGTGTATGTGTGTATACATGTTTGCATGCATGCATGTACTCCATCACATGTAACTGTAGGTGAATGTGCCTGCATGCATGTATGTATGCGTGTACGGCTGTATGCATGTATGCATACATGCATGCACGCGTATCTGTGTACGCATGTGTGTACGTATACGCGGGCGTGTGTATATACGTGTGTACGTGTGTACGATCGTACGCGAGTATGATTGTATGTGCCTGTGCATATATGTACATATATAACTACATGGATGTATGTATATATATATACATATACATATATATGTATGTATGCGTAGTTATGGATATGCACACATGTATGTATATACATGCATAGGTGTGTAGATATGTATGCATGCATGTTTGTATGGTTGTATGTGTGTATAGGCATGCATGGGTGTATGTATGTATGTATGTATGTATGTGTGTGTGTGTATGTATGTACATACGCCTGGATGCGTTTTTATGCATGCGTGTACTTGGCCGGTATTAAGGTATGTATGTATGTATGTATGTATGTATGTATGTATGTATGTATGTATGCGTGCAGGTGTGTCTGCATCTATGTGTGTAGATATACAGAATGTGGGACCCATCATCTGGAGAAATCGATGGAATGGTCCGCGAACCTGCCTGGGACTTTGTTGTGGTACCCGCTCCAACACAATATTGAATACGCGTGCAACTTCAATGCGCACCATACATGGCACTGTGGGCCAAGATAACAACACGCACTCGCTTCAATAATGCATTAACTCCACTTCCTCTTCCTTCGCCACCACCGTGCCACAATCGGAGGGCTGGCGTGCGCCTCAGGATACGTATCTAGTGCCGCCCCGCAGACTTGCCATCCCTCATCCACCACGCACTCTCTCTCTCTCTCACACACGCCTCCGTAGGCGCTGGTGTCGGTTCTGAAGTGGGTGCGGTGGGTGCCTGATCCACGGCGGGAGACTGAGATTTCGAAGGGAGGCTGATGCTCCATCTGATTATACCACCACCCATCGTTCCCAGCTCTCCTCCGAACACGCATAGTGCGAAAGTGGGAGGGCAGTAAGGACCACAGCTACTCCAGAAGCGCCTAGTCTGCCACGACGCCGAGGGGAGAAGACCTCGGCAATGACCGAGGAAAATGATGGAGTCCAAGCTTCCTAACTGGGACTGGAAAGGACGGTGTCGGAAGATCGCAACGCATCGCAAATGCTTTGGTGGTGCGGCGCGATGAAGAGCTCCGTTCAATCCTCTCCGTTGTCGCCGACGCATCGCCGATGCATCGCCGATGCGGCGAGGTACTTGGTGCCCATCTCGTCTGGCCGGATGGAGGAGGCCTCCATGGACGGAGGAAGAAGAGGAGGAATAGAGAGAGGGCGGCGGAGAAAGAGGGCAAGGCACGCACATTGACCCCATGGCGGGCCAGCGTAGGCGCTGCTGTAGGCTCTGGCGAAGGCTTTGGAATCGGTGCCTGCTCCACGAGTTCGAATTGGATAGGGAAGAATAATTGTTTCGGACCCGAGAAAGTGAAGCGCACACAGAAGATCCGCAACAGAGCTGTGCATCGGTTTGTGTGCGTGCGTGCATGTCGTGCCGCTGGCGCTTTTCGTCCGTAGCGTTGCCCACTGCGAAGCAATACTAAAGGCCCCAGGCGAATCGACCCCCCCACGCGCCCACGTCTGGCTCCAAATTCTTTGCCTTCTCGCATGCCACACAAGAACTAGTACCATAAACTATACATGCGCGCTGCAAAGCTTCGTGAAATCCCCAAAAAAACAAAAACCCTCTGCCCGCCTCCCAGACGCCGCGGCGCGGTGACAGACACGCGCGGCAACGAGACTGCATGTATACAAAGGGAATGCGACGGCGCTAGTGCAAAGCAACGTCGCCGGCCCCGGAACTAGGGCTCCCAACTTCGCGCTTCGCACTCCGCGAAGCGCGAATACCTTCGCGCTCTCGCGCCGCACCCCAAAAGGGAGAAGAGGAGGACGAGGAGGAAAAGGAGAAGGAACGAGGACCGCGAAGCGCGAATAACTTCGCGCCCTCGTGGGAACCCTTGCGGAAGCTCCCTTCCCCTCTCCCTGGGAAACGCTTTGTCCTGCGTTGGCTGCTGTCGGCCAAAGGGCACCAGAGAGCGGGCCCATTGGAGGCCGAACGTGGAGACAAGATCCGTATGGCTCGTTCTTCAAATCGCCTGAGGTCTGGGATTGCTGCACTTAGGTCGGGCGTGTCCCCCTACAGGCGGATGTTAGGGGAACGTTTAATTAAACGTATCCAACAAGTATTTAATCAATGCTCCAAAATAGTCAAAACATCGAACCCATACTATTTTGTGAGTATATTCGAATCTTCCTCCTGCAAAGGGACAGGCCCGACTTAAAATGCTGCACGCACGCGCACTTCATGTTTTATCTAACCACCACACCGTGTCACTATCACGTTTAGCCGCGAAGGCCGTTTCCTATCGAGACGATGTTTGCTTCACGCTTGGGCGCTCGTGTGCTTGGAGCGGAGAGGCCAAACCATCTCAATATCATGTTTGGCCGCGATCGGCGGCGGCTCCTGGGGAGGAGGAAAGAGGAAAAGGAGGAGGACGAAATCAGAACACGAGGAGCAAAGCTCAGGCCAACCTGCAATAGGCGAACCGTCGCGCGCCACCAAGGCTCGAAGAGACTGACGGGCGCCAACTTAAAAGCGAGGATAGGCCAGTACGTCCAACATTGAAATTAAGATCCTGCGTACCGCAGGCGCCAGCTGGAGCGGACAGATCGCGGCCCCCCCTGCGCAGAGCAGCAGCTAGCGGACACCACTTGGACGAGGAGGAGGAGGAGGAAGCAAAGGAGAAGGAGGAGGAGAAGGAGGAAAAAGAGGGACGAAGAGAAGGAAGGAGAGCACTGAACAAAGTCCTGCAGGTCATCGCCAACCGACTCCTGTGAGTCTGGGCGCCCCGCTGACCAGAATATGTTTTTCGCGCAATCGAAACGAACGAGAAACAATACTGTTGTGCCGAACGGTGCTTCCGCACAAACGGAACCAACACGGCGTGTGACTGGTGAAACTGCACTCATGGTTGAAGCAGCTGCCATGCCCGAGAGCGTTCAGCGCCGCGGCGACTCCATCTGCCAAGCAACCGTCGCACGTCCATGCCCTGCGCGGAGTCTGTTGCAGCGTGTCGCAGGTAGTTGGTGGCACGGTAGACAGCGTACACAGCCAGTGTTGTTCTGACCCTGTCTTCGTCGCAGGTATACGTGTCCATCAGAAAGAAAGAAAATCTGGAAGGATCATGAGGAAAGCCCAAACCTAAAGGTCTTGCCGCACGAATGGATTCCTATACCACTGAGCAAACCGAGTGATGCTCCAGACTGTCCTCGCCGCGTTCGCAGCCGAGCAAGCAGCTACCGAAATCGCTTCGGGTAGAAGTATATGCATTGCGCATGTGGCGGCGAGTGGTCCATCCATTGAAGACAGTACAGAGATATGCTGCGGCCCAGCGAGGCGGGCACCATTTGTGCACTAACCCGAAATTTGCGCGGATCCTCGCCGCATTGTCAGCTGCGTTGCTGGTGAAATTCCACCTTGAGATCTTGTGCTGAAGCCGCTGATCACGGTCACCGCACTTGGCCCTGGTCGAAGAAGCGGCTACCGCTTGAAACTTCAAGCTCTTCTGCTGGCCAGGACATGTCGGACGGCAAGGCGGGCGATGCCCATCCTCAGAAATTGTTTGACCTCCGCCCGGGCTAAGATGGCAAATGACGGGTCCTGATGCCAACTCCCGAAGGGCCCCTGCAGCACGGCATCGTGCACGGCGGCAAGCTCCGCGCAACGATCTTTACAAGCGAAGGCAATGGTCTCCACCACCCGGATTTTGGCGGCTTTGGCGAGATCTGCATCATTCGCGAACGAACACGGAAACCCAAACTCTTCCTTCAAATAACACAAATCAGCAGGCGTAGCCCGACTGCCAGGGCCTGGCACGAGGCGAGGCGCCTCAGAGCCCAAGCGAAAACATCCACAAAGGGGCAGAACAGATAAACACGTTGATGGCGATCGTCGATAAAGTTAAGCCTAAAGTGTGCGTGGACCAAATCAGCACACGCTTGTGGAATGTCTCAAGCACTTTAAATCCACGACTGAATGCACGCTCCCGGGCCGATTCCGAATCCCAAATACTTCCCCTGCAACGCAATGATGATGTCACGCCAAGACGGGACAAGCTCTGTGATCAATTTCCGCAAACCTCTTTCGGAAATGTGCCTTCCAGAGGGGGATCATCACCGATTTCGTGACGCTCAGGGCCAAACAAGAAATCGTCTCGAACTTGGCAAACAACTTGGCGAGCACTGGGAATGCCTGGACCGAATCATTCACAACCGCCTTGGTGTCATCAGCGAAGGCGCGAACGACTTCATGGCCATTTAGATTGTCAGCGATACGACGAAGCATGAGGTCTGCGCAGATAGCAAACAACAATGGTGAAAGCGGGCGCTCCTGTCTCACCCCGCTGCTGACGATGATACTATCGAAACATGTGCCCCGAACTATGATCTTATGAATGTTACTGTTGTAAACAAATTGCAACATTCGGACGTACTGAAACGGAACACCAATACCCTCGAGGACTCCCAATATGAATTGGTGATCCCTGTTGGGAAAACCAGCACGACAATCAAATAATGATGATATTGCCCCCGGGATGATGTCATGGAAATCTCATGCGCCACAAAATCCACATCCAGTACATTGCGTAGCATGTGCCGTCCTTGGATAATGCCCTTCTGCGGCGCGGAGACCCATGGCGCCGCCGATCTCTCCAACGCCACCCTGGATATGGAGGAAAGGATACGGATGCTGGCGTCAGCAATGGAAAGGGGGCGGGCGTTGCAGGGGTCGTAGAACTCCTCGCCTGTCGACGTCAACGTCCCCGAGCCCTTCGGCAAACAAAGCAAATAGGCCAGATTGAAATCGTCCGGCGGCGCAGCTTCCCCTCGCAGCATGAGCAACGCCAGGTCCAAGAACAGCGGCGCCAAGATGACGCGAAGCACCGAGAACACGGCGAAAGGAATGCCGTCTGGGCCCGGAGAAGCGCTCGGAAGGCTTGCGAGCACACCGTCCACATTCTCGATCGTGGGAGTCAGATCTTCGAGGGTTACGTGCAAGCTGCCTCTCACTTGGTCAGTCCAGCGCCTCCTCAAATTCCAATCAGCATGCTGCTTATCCAAAACATGTTGCCAACGCACCGTCAAAATTCTAGCTACAGCCTGGGGTTCTGTGGCAACCAAACCTGAAGACGGATTCCTCACAGCCTGAACCGACCCAGAAGATCCCGGCACCAGCTTTTAGAACGAAGAAACACTATTCAATGTTCGTTGCTCGTAAACGCTCTCAGGAAGATTACCGCGCTGCCGTTGTAGCTGATCAATCCTGTCGTGTTCAGCTGCCTGTGACAGCTCGAGGGCATGGTCCTGAAGAAATCGAATCTCACGATGCGTAGGCGCACGTGAAGTCGCAGGTACCGAACGAAGCGGGGGGTAAACAGCTTGCAACCGCTCAGTAGTAACCGAATTCCCAATGAAAGCAGCACGCAAGAAACAAATGGTGGCAACTGTTTTCTCGTCGTTGATGTCAGCGATCCTCTCACGATGAGCTTTCAATACGTCCCGACAAGTGCGATGGATAATTCTCTTGATCTCTGCAAGTTTGACGAAACACGACGCGTTCGTGTTCTGCAAGCACGGCGAGACCCGAGAAACCAATTGTTTCGGAACGCAGGGTCGTCGATAACCCAGGAGGGGAAACAACCTCCACGACCTTTTCAAACGAGGCCGGATACTGCGCACACGCGCACTTCAGGCGCTGATCAAAGGGATCCTGGCGATAGGCCCAAGGCTGCAAGGCCTGATGCCCGACGCCGGGCGCTGTGCAGAGGTCTCGGGTTTGGGGGGGCGCGATTCTGGCTCGGAGGGTGCTTCGTGCGAGGTGTGAGGAGAGCAAGCGCTCGGTACATGTAGAAGGGTCGCGGGCAGTGCTGGCGGCGGCAGGCTTCCGAGGGAGTCGAGCGAAGGGTGGGCCATCTGGGACTGTCTGGGAGTGGCGGCTGCGCAGTGACCTGCACTGGAACACGGGAAGAGAAAGGAGGGGGAAGGATGAGGAGGGGAATGGGAGTACGAGGAGGGGGAGGGGGGAGGAGGGGGGAGGAGGGGGAGGGGGGAAGAGGGGGAGGAGGACGAAGAGGAGGGGGGTGGGGAGAAGGACGAGGAGGAGGAGGAGGAGGAGGAGGATCTGCATGCTGACCACATCCAGCTGCACACTCACCCCGCAAATCTGCTGCGCGAGCCTGGCCTTCGTGGCGGCTCCGCCCTCCGCGGTGTCTGCGGCTGCCTGCGCAGGCTCGGCAACGCCCCTCTCGGTCGCGGGGCTGGCGGCCTGCTCCGTCCCCACTGTGACGCCCTGCTTCTGGGCCGCCAGAGTGGCGCTCTGCTTGCTCCCGGCGGCGGCGTCGGGCTGAAACTCGGTGGTCGTGGTCTCGGCAGCCTGCGGGCCGAAGGGGGGACGACGAGGATGCGACGCGCAGACCAGCATGCGACCGAGCGTGCGAGCAACGGGCCACCAGCTCCACGGCCTGCCCGGGATGCCGTGACGCAGTGCCCTTTATGGAGCCCCACGGCGGGCGCGCGCGTCGCGCGCGAAGGTGAGGTGCAAGACGCGGCGACGCCACGACACGGTGGGTGCCTCTCCCGATGCCGCGCGAGCGCGGGCCGTGCCAGGGGCGCCCGAAGCGGCCGCGCCCCTCCTCGCCTCCCTCGGGCTCTGCCGGCCCGGCGGCGGGCCCCTGCCGATGCCTCGGGGCCGCGGGGGCCACTCTGGACAGAGCCCCGCGGGGCCCTCTTGGGGCGCGCGAGGCCCGGGCAGTCTCCCAAGATGGCCTCTGGACTCTTCCCCCGAGGAGACGATGGGGAAGAGGGGGGAGGAAGAAGGCACAGGGGGGGGGAGGGACATGCGAGAGAGGAGTCGAGTGCCGCTGCCCTTCCCAAAAAGCGCTCGCAGACGCTCCGAGAGCGTCCCGAGGCAGGAGGGAGGACAGATGGCGGTCAGCAGGGATCGTGCGGGGACCGTTGTGCTCTGGACTCGAGAAGGCCCGAAGCGGTTCACTGCCTATAGAGGGAACGAGTCACGGGGAAAGACGGAGCACGGGATGGGGGTATCCGTCCGAGGAGAACTTCTCGTTCCCCGCACGAGGGGCGCCATCACGTGCCGGGGGGGCCCATCGACAGGACACCCCCATCCTCAAAAAAAACAAGCGCCTTCCGGGTCGGTCTCTCCAGAGGCCCGAAGAGGGGGGGGGGGGCGGCACTGCTTGCCACGCGGAGGCCTGCCCGAGCTGCAGGGAGCAGCGCTGCACACCAGGAAGGTCGCCCCCCTGGTCGGGCGACGCCCGTCCCGCGACCTGCCATGGGATGATACCGCGGGCCAGGCCTCCCGAGATTCAGAGCACGAGTACGGGCGGTCATAAACAAAGACCGCCCCTCGGCCCTGCCCCCAGGGCCTGTCCTGGGCGACCAGGTTTGATCTCCGAAGCTGAAGCCGTTGACGTGCAGTCCAGCTATCTTTTCCCCTCGCCGCTGCTCGCACGCGGCGGCGAGGTGGGAGCGGGGGGAGCGGGGGGGGCGAGGGGGGCGGAACGCTCGCCTGCTTGTCCAGGATGTGGGCTTCGACGAGGAGGACGGGGGACAGGCGGCGCGCCCCGGGGGGAGTGAGAAAGGACGGGCCTTCTCAGAAGGCTCGGAAGTCCCCGGGCCTTCCGAGAAGTCTCCGACGCCCTCCCCGAAGGCACTGGCCACTTCTCGGAAGGCGCGAGGGCTTCTGAGAAGCCCCGCCGCCCTCTGAGGCCTTCCCTCCTTCTCGCTTACCCCGCCGCGCGCGGCGATGGGGGGGGTCCCCAATGGACCCGCTCCAAAGGCCGCTCCCGCGAAGGGTCACTCTTACGCGCACGTGTAATCGATTTTTTGTTTTGGGGGGGCTTGTCCTCGATGAAATTCGAGTGCACCCGCCCGCAGTCGATACAGTCGGGGTTGATTGGAGAGGACACGCGAGAGGACACAAGTCCCGTCCGAGAGCCACATGGGTAGCCTCGACTTGGCATGGCCGACCTACTAATCAGTCTCGACTGTAGGCGGCGCGCCCGGGGGGAAGTGAGAAGGAGCGGGCCTTCTCGGAAGGCTCGGAAGTCCCCCGGCCTTCTGAGAAGATTTCTGAGCCCTCCCGGAAGACAGCAACAACAAAAACGTCTCAGAAGGTGCGAGGGCGTCTGAAAGTCCCGCCGCCTTCTGAGAAGAACTTCTTCTTCTTCTTCTTATTATTCTTCTTCTTATTATTTTTCTTCTTCCCCCCCTTGCTCGCCGCCGGGTCAAGGAAGGATAGCCCTTGAACGCAGCTTCCGGCTAGCTAAAAGAAGCACTGCCTGGAGCTTCCACTCCCACTGGACCCTCATACTGGGTTCTGGACACAGGAAGAACAGGGAGGAGGCCCAGAACCCACACAGGGGATCCGTCGTCGTCCACAGCTCTGGAGCACCGCGTCCCCGAGGACCTCGCGGCGTGCTGGACGTGGGCGCGCCTTCTCCCCCCCTCCTGGGGCGGAACGTACACCACGCGAAATGGTTAAGAAATCATGGGTTAAGAAATTCATGGTCTCGCGCCAACAGGTTTCTTAATTATCATTAAAAAATGTCGAGGGTCTGGCCCGGGGGCTCGGTATGTGCATGAATGTGGGCCCGAGCCCAACCCAAGTGGGGCCCGAGCCGGATCCAAGTGGGGCCCAAGTGGAGCCCAAGCCCAACCCAAGTGGGGCCCGAGCCGAATCCAAGTGGGGCCCAAGTGGGGCCCGAGCCGAATCCAAGTGGGGCCCAAGTGGGGCCCGAGCCCAACCCAAGTGGGGCCTGAGCCGGATCCAAGTGGGGCCCAAGTGGGGCCCGAGCCGGATCCAAGTGGGGCCCAAGTGGGGCCCGAGCCCAACCCAGGTGGGGCCCGAGCCGAATCCAAGTGGGGCCCGAGCCCAACCCAAGTGAGGCCCGAGCCGAATCCAAGTGGGGCCCAAGTGGGGCCCGAGCCCCCTCCAAGTGGGGCCCGAGCCGAATCCAATTTGGGCCCGAGCCCAACACGAGTGGGGCCCGAGCCGAATCCAAGTGGGGCCCAAGTGGGGTCCGAACCCAACCCAAGTGGGGCCCGAGCCAAATCCAAGTGGAGCCCAAGCGGGGCCCGAGCCCAATCCAAGTGGGGCCCGAGCCGAATCCAAGTGGGGCCCAAGTGGGGCCCGAGCCCAACCCAAGTGGGGCCCAAGCCGAATCCTAGTGGGGCCCAAGTGGGGCCCGAGCCGAATACAAGTGGGGCCCAAGTGGGGCCCGAGCCCAACCCAAGTGGGGCCCGAGCCGAATCCAAGTGGGGCCCAAGTGGGGCCCGAGCCAGATCCCCCTCCAAGTGGGGCCCGAACCGAATCCAAGTGGGGCCCAAGCCGAATCCAAGTGGGGCCCAAGTGGGGCCCGAGCCCAACCCAAGTGGGGCCCGAGCCGAATCCAAGTGGGGCCCAAGTAGGGCCCGAGCCGAATCCAAGTGGGGCCGAAGTGGGGCCCGAGCCCCCTCCAAGTGGGGCCCAAGCCGAATCCAAGTGGGGCCCAAGTGGGGCCCGAGCCGAATCCAAGTGGGGCCCAAGTGGGGCCCTAGCCCAACCCAAGTGGGGCCCGAGCCGAATCCAAGTGGGGCCCAAGTGGGGCCCGAGCCGGATCCAAGCGGGGCCCAAGTGGGGCCCGAGCCCCCTCCAAGTGGGGCCCGAGCCGAATCCAAGTGGGGCCCAAGTGGGGCCCGAGCCGAATCCAAGTGGGGCCCAAGTGGGGCCCGAGCCCCCTCCAAGTGGGGCCCGAGCCGAATCCGAGCGGGGCCCAAGTGGGGCCCGAGCCGAATCCAAGGGGGGCCCAAGTGGGGCCCGAGTCCAACCCAAGTGGGGCCCGAGCCGAATCCAAGTGGGGCCCAAGTGTGCGCCCACACGACCCCAAGAAAGCATCAGGCTTAAGAAATTTCCCCAGGGTCTGGCCAGCGCCGGCGTTTTCTTCAGCCGTGTGTCTAGGACAAGAAATGTCGAGACTCTGGCTGCAAAACTGTGTTTTCTTAAACACCGCCGCCTTCTGAGAAGAACTTATTTTTCTTCTTCTCATTCCCCCCCTTGCTCGCCGCCGGGTCAAGGAAGGATAGCCCTTGAACGCAGCTTCCGGCTAGCTAAAAGAAGCACTGCCTGGAGCTGCCACTCCCACTGGACCTTCATACTGGGTTCTCGGCACAGGAAGAACAGGGAGAAGGCCCAGAACCCACACGGGGGATCCGTCGTCGTCCACAGCTCTGGAGCACCGCGTCCCCGAGGACCTCGCGGCGTGCTGGACGTGGGCGCGCCTTCTCCCCCCCTCCTGGGGCGGAACGTACCACGCGTCCAGCGCCGAGAGATGCTCCTCTGGGGCGCGCCCGGCAGACCGTCGGCAGACGTGGACACATCCCCGGCGCGGAGTGGGGGCGACGAGGACGAGAAGGAGGAGGAGGGGGAGGAGGAGGAGGAGGAGGAGGAGGAGGAGTGCGCTGGCCAAAAGAGAGGGACGAGAAGAGGGCAAGCGGACAAGAAGCGAGACGAGGGCAAGACGTCGTCGACGCAGCGGCGCGCGGCGGCGCCTGCGGGGCCGCGCCGAGCAGCGCGGACAGGTCTGACCTCTGCCTGCAGACCTGCTGAAAACGGGCCCCTGCCACGGCGACGGGCGACGCGGGGCGATGGCGACAGGTATGATAACAATGAAAACAGGCATCAATATACAACAAGATGGACAACAGAGCACGATTGTCAAGGGGAAAGAATCTATAAATCTGAATTCTGGTGGCACCAGGGGCAAGGCAGAACGCAGAAGGGAGCTCTGGCAGGAAAATCCCAATGATGTCGAGCCTCGGGCATTCAATCACATGTTTGAGGGTGTCAGCAGCACGTGGGCCGCAAAACGGGCAATCCTTGGTGGCATCCCGAAAACGCCCCGAGGTGCACCAGGCATTACACACAGCTTTCAGAAGCGAGGCGAGGACCGAGGGCGGAACGAGAGGGGCGGCCCTCCTGAAGGCCAGAAAAACAAGATCCAGATCACTATAGCACAGGCGGGGGTCATTTTTGCGCAGGCGGCTCAGCAGCTGGGGCTTCACAGAACGAGGGAAGAGTTCACGCAGGAAGAGCTCCGTCTTTTTCTGAAGCGGCACCTCATCCCTCGGCACGTTTGGGATACTGGTCAGGAGTTCGAAACTCTCGATCATCGACCGCAAGATGCTGCTTTTCCACCAGGGGTGCGGACGCCAATTTATTACACACTCATCATCTTCTGAGAATTCTTTAGCATCCTTCGGATTTCGTGGAGGGCAAGGGAGTAGTAGGCGGCGCGGTATCTGGCGGCACGGCATGTGCGCTCCAGCGATCTGGCGTCCAGGGGAAAGCCCAGCTGTGTCAGGCCCTGCATCATCGAGGCCGTGATAGCATTGTTCGGCCCGACAGTGAGCTTCTGCAGGCCAGCGCGCTCCAGGCTCAGGCAACGGTTCGTGGGCTCCAGAAACTGGCCGATGAACGTGAGCACAGAAAACGCGAGCATGTTATCATGTGCCACAGTTTTCGTCAGGCCCAACTCGAGGCCTCGAATCATCTGGATCCTCTGGACGTACTTCGTAAGGGCGGGCTCCCAGGAATCGAACACACTATCGGGTCCCAGCCGTGTGCCAAGATATCGCCCTCGGGGGAGCAACTGAAGGCCCAGAGTATCGGCCTGAAACCCGCGCGCCCCAAGTGCTGCAAGAAAATCTGCCTCCGAGATCCCCAGAAGGACGATCACCGTTTTCTCAACGTTGATGTACAGGCCCATACCAGGCCCAGCGAGGTCCCACACCGACATGCTGGAAACGAACGCCTCGACAATGTCCCCCGAGCTAATCCCCGCATCATCAGCGAAGGCCCCCAGGCTGTGAAGCGGTCGTGGAAGCAGGAGGCAAATCATCCGCAGCACGGGGCCGACGGCGAGTGCGAACAGCGAACCACTAACAGGACATCCCTGTTTGATGCCGCGGGAGAGCCAGTAGCCTACATCCTGGTGCATTCCCCGATGCGATATAGCAATCCAAACATTGGTGTAGGGGCATTGAACGGCACGAACGAAATAGCCTGGCACTCCCATGGCACGCAGAGTGGCAAACATAGCTTCGTGCAGCAAGCTCGGGAAGGCCGCGCGCGCATCGTGCAGCACGATGCCGCACGCCGAGACAAGACGCTGGACATACCAGTGCATCGCACGATATTCGAGCTCAAGAATGTTCTCGTTCATATTCCTCCCTCCCACGAAACCTCTCTGTTCCTTAATGCACGAGTATCTGCATATGGCAGCCAGCGGCCTGTTCAGGGCAAGCGAGACAATCTTATTCGAGGTGCACGACATAGTCAGCGGCCTCGTAACTGAAGGCGCGCGCATACAGAGCGAAGAATCATGTTCATCATCGCCTTTGGCCAGGAAAATGTTGTGGCCGTAATTAAACTCAGGGTGGCACTCGCCAACATCAAGGATGTGCTCGTACAGATTGAATAAGGCCCGTCCTCCTTCCTCCCCCGCTCGACTCCAGCCCGAGTATGGTATCCCATCCGGCCCCGGGGCGCTGTCACGCGGTCTCTTCATCATGTAAAAAAACTCCGCCTCCTCCAACCTCCAGGTAACTACTTGAGGAACTCTCTGTACGTGTACGAGCAAATCATTAAGCGCAGCAGGCTGAATGGCAACAGCAGGGTGCACAGCTCCCCAGTGCCGAGCGAGCTCACGAGCGCCAGCGACTGGGTCGAAGATGGGGGCACCGAGCGGGTCGGCTATAGCTTGCAACGAGATCTGGGCACCGCGCCCCTTCCACGCCGATCTGAAGGTGTAAAGCTTGTTCATAGTGGATTTCTTTTGGGCCGAGGGGATGTTCAGGTCGTTCTGAATTTCTTCAATCTGCTCATCTATCTGCTGTCGCTTTAGATTCGCTAAGAACGTGTGGAAGCCCACAAGATTCGAGTATGCGCAGAGCTCGACAATGAAAAACCGCTGAAGCATCGGGTAGGCCTTCACAGCCCTGCGTAGCACACCTGGGGCCTTGGCTCTCTCGGCTCTCATAGCAGCAAGAGACCAGGAGATGTACTCAGGCAACGAGCTGGCGCCCTTCTGCTCAAGCTTGGCTAGTAGTTGTTTAGCTGCTACCTGTATTGCGTTGCGTACCTCCTCCACCCGCTGTATAGGATCATCATCAATATCACCTCCTCCTTGCAAAACCTCCTTGAACACATCGGGGAACATTTTGTGCTTGGAGACCCAGGGCTGCACTGTCGAGGTCCCACTGAGGCTGGGGGGCGCCAGGGCCAAGAAAACAGGCACGTGATCAGAGAGCGTGGCGGGGTCTGCAGCGCAGCCGATCGTTCCAGAGGTCGGGGAAAGGTCCAGGATCATGCTAGCAGGGATCGAAGTGTAGATCCTGTCGAGGCGCCCGAGCGAGAGGACCACTTTGCGCCCCTCGTCGCACCCTTCGACACGATGTGTGAACTGCGGCTGTTCAACCTCGACCATGTGTGCAAAGAGCCGATCAAACAGCTTGGCGAGGCTGTGGGTGGGGTGAACGAGCCTCCCCGACACTTGGAAGCTGCCCTCGCCCTGCGCAGGGAAGTTAAAGTCGCCGCAAAGAAAGACAGAGCACTGCGCTCGAGGCCGAAGGGCATCACGAATCTGCACTAGCTGACGCTTGCGTTCACGCACACGGAGACCAGGATCACTATGCACATTAACAATCTGGATAGCATGCTGGTCATTATGAAGAACAACTGTGTGTATACGCCCTTGTGCAATGACACGATGTTGCGCATGTGCAAACGTGCTGCGGACCCGAGGATGAACATTCATAAGACTACCACCAGAGTGAGGGTTACAGAGAAAGGCCGAGAAACCAGAGAGCTGATATACCTCACGCTCCAGGGCACGGAAACACTCGTACGTCCCGCGAGCCTCTTGAATCCATACAACATCATGATTCTGAATCATATTGATAAGCTGCCTGATCTTTGCGCGGTGGGTGTGCTGCGGGGCGTACAGTGCGCCGAAGAGCGAACGAGCATTCCAAGACACAGCTGAAAAACGCCTGCACGGCAAGAAAGGACTGCATCGCATCGGCAAAGCAGGCCAGCCAACCGTAAACGACGAAGAAGAGCTGGAGGATGCGGACGTTGAGCTTGCCGACGGTGCCGAACGTGCAGAAGACCCAGCAGGACTGGAAGCCCCAGACGCGCTGGACGACGAGGGGGAGGCTCTTGCTCTTCTCGCTGAAGTGGCAATTCTGCATGAAGGCCGAATTCTCTTCGTAGGCGGCGGTGTGGCGTGCTGCTGGTCGTAGCTGTCTGCCGCTTGCTCAGGTGTGGAATGCACACCGCAAAACGGGGCACCCGAACCAGTCATATCACTATCCACAGGAGAGGCGAGAATCCCCAGGGGTATATCATGCAGGTTGGTCTTCATGCACTGCTGGCTTGGCAGGGCGTTCTCCTAGACCAGGATGCTCTCAACAGTGCTGTTGATGGTGGCATCAGTGAAGCCGAGCTTCTTCAATGCCACGACGTTAGGAATGACGTCCAGCTGCATCGACTCTACGCCTTTCACCTGGAAGAGATTTTCTGTGTCATCCTTAGAGATCAGCCATAACGAACCACGAAATCCTTGCGAGCCCAGCGTATAAGAAGTACTCCATTTGTTATTGGCCTTGGCTGTCTCCATAACCTTGGACCAGAGGACGCCGAGGATACGGTTGACTTTGCGGATGGCAGGCGGTGCGTCCATGCGGATCTTCAGGTCACAGTCCGCGTTGGTGCGAGGGTCGCGCCACTTCACGCCCAGGGTCCGAGCACGCATTAAGAAGTCCTTGGCCGCGTCTCTCGACTCGAAGATGATACTGTATGCCGTTTGGAAATTGTGCGACATGGGCATCGCCGTGATGCCATTGGGGACGTGCTGCTGGATGAGCTGTGTGGCATGGGCACTCATGACCTTGGCTAGCAGCGGCCTCGGGAAGCCAGCGATCCAGATCTTGCGGTTGTCCCTCTCCTTCTCAGGCTCTTGAGATGCAGCCGATGCATTCGACCTGGTCGATGGGGCACGCGAAGACAGAGCAGCAAGCTCGGCCTGCATCTTGAGATTGTGAGCCTTCATGTCTTTCAGCTGGCTGTCAACAGCTTCAGTCATGACGGCGGCTGCAGCAGATTGTGCTGCCTCCATGCTGAAATTAGATCTGTCCTCTATCGCCTTCATTCGAGCAATCAATCCGTCAATCTTTACCTCGTGCTCATGAATGGTTCTTTTCACCTCTGTGACGTCATCTTTTGTGGCCATGTTCGAGCGAATGTCACCCAGCATCTCTCGTAGCCAGTCAGCATCGCCAGTACGCCCGCGCTTCGGTACTGAACCATCTTCCTCGGCCACAGGCGTTGGGCACATCATCTCATCGTCCGACGCCATCGCAGTGGAGCGGCAGCACTGAGTCGGAAGATGCCTAAACGGAGCTGTCCTGCGGGCGGCCGATGACCTGGCCTCGGGAGCAGGAAACAAGGCAGGTCGAGGGCAAAATGCCTATGAGGACCACTTTCGCTACACCGTAGCTTTCATCCAGACTTGAGCCAAAATGGCTTGAGCCAAAATGGCTACGGAAGGAGGAGGAGGAGGAGGAGGAGGAGGAGGAGGAGGAGGAGGAGGATCTGCATGCTGACCACATCCAGCTGCACACTCTCCCCGCAAATCTGCTGCGCGAGCCTGGCCTTCGTGGCGGCTCCGCCCTCCGCGGTGTCTGCGGCTGCCTGCGCAGGCTCGGCAACGCCCCTCTCGGTCGCGGGGCTGGCGGCCTGCTCCGTCCCCACTGTGACGCCCTGCTTCTGGGCCGCCAGAGTGGCGCTCTGCTTGCTCCCGGTGGCGGCGTCGGGCTGAAACTCGGTGGTCGTGGTCTCGGCAGCCTTCGGGCCGAAGGGGGGACGACGAGGATGCGACGCGCAGACCAGCATGTGACCGAGCGTGCGAGCAACGGGCCACCAGCTCCACGGCCTGCCCGGGATGCCGGGCGCAGTGCCCTTTCTGGAGCCCCACGGCGGGCGCGCGCGTCGCGCGCGAAGGTGAGGTGGGAGCAAGACGCGGCGACGCCACGACACGGTGGGTGCCTCTCCCGATGCCGCGTGAGCGCGGGCCGTGCCAGGGGCGCCAGAAGCGGCCGCGCCCCTCCTCGCCTCCGGGCTCTGCGGGCCCGGCGGCGGGCCCCTGCCGATGCCTCGGGGCCGCGGGGGCCACTCTGGACAGAGCCTGGGGAGCTTGGGGCGTCCTCGGGACCCTTGTGCGCTCGTGGGCCGCCTTAGATCAACCCCCGCGGCGCCCCTGGGCACTCGATGCCCGGGCAGTCTCCCAAGATGGCCTCGAGAATCTCATCCCGAGAAGCAGGTGGGCAAGAGGGGCGTATCCCCGCCTGGGGCGGTGGCATGGTGGGTCTGGGTCTGGGGATGGGGATCGGTGCAACGATACTGAACTTCTGGGACGCCGTAGCGAAAACGGATCCAAGGTGATCGGCCAAAAAAGGACCCCTGACCCTTGGGAGGGGGCCCAAGTTAGGAGGGTCAGGAACATTATGGATAGGGGGTCTGTTCTGCAGGCGTATCGAACCAGACCGCCCAGAATTAGTTCTCATCCCGAATGCGAAGACGGGGACCTCACTGAGGCTGCGCATTCATCGTGTTATCGGGGTTCGAAGTTCTTCTACAGTGGAGGCCCGTCCACAAGACAGAACACTTCTATAAGGAATCCAACCCTGAGACCCCATGACGCCCGTTGATTTTTGGGATGGAAGCGTCACGCTTCCCATAGCAACGCCATCGATTCCCAAGAAACCCAGGGCACCCTGGAGGCAAGCAGGGTGTTTCTTGGCATAGGTCCCCACTGTATCCTCAGTGGCACGGCCTCGGAGCTCTGGATCCCGGCGTGAGAGGCGGGCGGGCCCTGGGGGGGCCCTGCGCCGCACCCTACGCCTCGAGAGAGGCCCGAGCAAGCGGGGCCCGCGTGGTGCGCGGGCTGCCGCTGGCTGCCGTGCGGTGCGGCAGCGGCTGCCGGCCTGATGCAGACCCCCATCCCTGCGGGCCTCGGAAGCAAATACGGCGGGGACACTGGATAAGGAACCCTGAGAGGAGCACCTCCTCCTCCTCCTCCTCCTCCTCCTGGAGTCCAGGGTCTGGAAGCCGATGGAACCCACCTCGTGGATCGGCCATGGACGTCACCGCCGCCCTCATCACACAAGGCGTCCTCCAGGCTCTGGCGCCTCCCAGGCAGATTCCTGAACGAGCGCCCCCGCCGTAGCGGCTACTCGTGCCGCATTCATCTGTCAATGCCCCCCCCAATGATCGATGTTGGCGGTGGGCTGAATGAGCTGCACTTCGACCGCAGTCTTCCCAGCGCCTGCCAACTTTGAGTTTGGGGGAGCGGGGGAGTGTCCACTGATTGTTTCTCTCTACCGTATGATTGGCAACATCTTACCCCGATGCGGATCTCAAGGATTCCCGAAGTGTCTGAGGGGGCACCCCTACCCGTCGGTCGGAAGGCGTGGGTACAGAGGCATGAATGAGCAGGGCGCTGGAAGCAGATCGGACCTCCGCGCATTCCTGGAGGAGGGAAAAGGGGATAACGCTAATTAGACGCTTGAGGTAGGAAGGCGCCCAACGTAGATTGGAATCTGGGAATCCAGTAGTACATACTTTCAAGGACCGACGGGTACACTTGCCATCGCCTTCGGGCCTGTCAGTCTCAGGAATAGGGAGTTACCCGTTGGTCGGAAGAAGCAGGCAGAACCCTCAGGCTGGAAGGCGTTGCCAGCAGATTTTTGGAGTCCCGAAACGGTGCGGTGACAGACCGTGCAGTGACCTCGAAATCCCCCAAAACCTCACCGCACGGTCCGTCACCGCACGGTCTTGGGACCCCAGAGGCCCCTGTCGTCCGAGACACCGAGACATCCTCGGAGAGGGCCTCGAGTCCCAAAACCGTGCGGTGACCCCGACTCCCCACCGACTCACCACACGGTGTGGTCACCACCCCGTTCGGGGGCACCCGAAGATTGGGCTTCCGCCACCCCCCGGAAGAGGAAGGAACATGTGAGCGACGATCAAGAACGGGTCTTGCGCGGGATGGCACAGCGACCTTACGCGGTGGCTTACGCGAGCCGCTGGCGCGGCACGCTGCAGAAGAGGCCCGACCACAAGAAACCGTCCACAAGAAACCCAACCCTGAGACCCTAAGTCGTACATCGATGTTTGACGTGGGAACGTCACGCTTTCCATAGAAAAACATCGAAACCCAGCGCAAACGACCTTTTTGCTTGCGTCGCTGATGTGAAACCACTCCATCGTTGAAGCAGGACTGCGCCTAAAGAAGATTGGCATCCGAAATTCCCAGATAAAATAAACATGTCCAACAACCGGCGAGTGAGTTCGAGGCGAGGCCGCGCACGGGAGAGGCCGCTCAAGCGACAGGGGGCCGCTCGTGCGCGCAGCGGGCCGACCCCTGTAAGGGGGCTCAGGGACCCTGGAGGCAAGCATGAAGTCGGGCGTGTCCCCCTGCAGGCGGATGCTGGACGAAAAGTGCTCCAACAATGCCCCAAAATGGTCGAAAAGGCGTCCCCAGACTCTTTTTGTTACTAGTTCAGAGTGTTCCTCCTGTAGACGGACAAGCCCGACTTGAGGCGAGCAGGGTGCTTCTTGGCATGGGTCTCCACTGCACTGTGCGAGGCGCGGGGGCGGCGGCGCCAGCGTCGCCCAGTGCAGAACGGCGGGCGCGGGCTCGGCGGGCCATGGCGCGGCGGCGGGCGCCAGCCCGCGACGAGCGCGGCGCCGGGTGGCGGAGCGCAGGGCCTCAGACCACAAGACCTGGGGCCTCGCCGCCGCCGCCCGCGCACGCCGCGGGCGCGCTCGGCGCCACGCCCAGCTGCGGCGCCAGGCCGTGGCGCTCGGCGAAGCCGCCCCCGCCCCCGCGGTCGGAGAAGACGACGTCCTGGTAGATGGCCTCTGGCATCCACGGCGGCCGCGCCAGACCCCGCCGCTGTAGCGCGTTCTCGGCCATCTGCAGCGCCCCCTCGCCCCAGCACTGCACGGGGCCGAAGGCCTCGGAGGCCACGAAGACCCGGGGCTCGCCCCTGGCGCGGAGCGGCTGCAACACGCCGCGGGGCACCTGCAAGGGGTCCGGCTGGCTGCCGTCCGGCTCCAGGCGCGAGAAGTGGCACGCCGCGCCGAACCCCTTCGCCCCTGCATCCCAGATGGACAACACGGCGTGGTCTGGCCGCGTGGCCTCTCCGCGCAGGACCCGGTCCGCCTGGTCCGCTCCGAGTTCCTCCGCGTGCAGGGCCACCAGCGCCGCGTGCACCTCGTCCAGCAGCCAGCCGCCGGCCGCGCCGTGGCTGCTCCTCGATACGTTGACGACGGCATCGCCGAACCCCAGCAGTCCGAAACTGCGGTAGAACATCAGCGAGAAGAAGTCGTCCGAGTAGTGCGCTTGGATGTAGCCCCGGCAGTGCTCCTCGCTCATCCCTGGGAGCCGCTCACAGCGCACGTCGCCGTCGTGGTACGCCCCGCGCAGAGGCGCGGGCGCCTGGATCCCGGGGAACACGTGCATGCTGTCGACGCCCGGGTACAGCGTCCTGGCAGCCTGGGGCAGGTTCGAGAAGTGGCCCGACGTGAGGTTCAGCGGCCTCCGCCCCCACCGCCCGCCCCGCCACCATGCGTCAGAGTAGTGGGCGTACAGCTTGAGGTACCCAGCGGGATTGGGCCTGTGCAGCTCGGCCGGCGGGCCGGGGGCGCCGGCGGCGGAGGCCAGCTCCGCGGAGGCCCCGAGGACCTGCAGCAGCGGCTGCTGCGGCAGGTTCAGCATCGCGGACTGCCTGACCGCCACGTCCGCCGCGCCGCCCCGGGCCGCGAAGGACAGCACCAGCGGCTCCGAGGGCGACGCGCCACCGCTGGGCGCGCGCGGCGCAGCCGGCGCGCGCAGCCGCTGCAGGCTGGCGCCCAGGAAGACGCGCACGTGGAAGCCCCTGCGCTCCGCCTCCTCCCGCGCCTGCCGCAGCATGCCCCACACGAATTGCGCGTAGCCGATGTCGTGGCCCTCAGGGTCGGTCAGTTTGTACAAGTTGTGGTCGATAGGGTCAGACGTATTCCAGTCGTACCTCCTGTACTCCAAGCCAAGCGCGTCGATGATTCCGGCCGTGACTGGCGTCCAGACGCATCCGTGGTGGCCGTCCACTGTGACGCAGAACTTCTCCCTGGCGAAACGGTATGCCCCTGGCTCGACCACCAGATCGCCCTTCGGCCCAGACCTGGTCAGGGACGCCACGCGGCCGCCCACGCGCAGAAGCTGCTCGAAGACGCAGATAGTCACGTTGACGCCTGTGCCAAGATCCATGGCGAGGCGCCAGGCGTAGTAGACGCCCGCTGGGCCAGCGCCGACGACGGCATGGGTAGAAGAGCAAAACAGATAATAATAAGCTGTCGCCGGTCCGCGCGGAGTTCTTGGCTCTGCGCTGGACCCCACTCCCTGGCGCGCGGAGCGCGCCGGGGGCAGTGCCAGAGGCGGCGGCGCCGCCGGGGGGCGCCATGACCCAGGACATCCGCGCGGAGCGCCAAAAGCTTATGTTTACAGGCCGGTCTTTCTCAACGTCCTTTCTGCTGCGGCCTGCCGGGAAGCGAATTATTCTCGCGCCATGGCCCCCGAACTCTCTGATCCCCAGGGTGTTAGCTAGTCGGTGGCTCGAAACATGAGGCAGGAAGGCGGATGAATTGGATTGGGTTCGGGCCCACTCGTTCTTAGTCGAAACGTAGAGCGAGAACAAACAACGCCATGAACATAAACATGTGGCGCTCTGCGCGGATGTCTCGGATCTGCGCTGTAGCCCCCTGCCTGGCGCGCGGAGCGCCCCGGGGGGCGGCGCCGGAGGTGCCGCCCATGGGGGGACCAGCGAGGATCCAAGAAATCCGCGCGGAGCGCCAAAAATTGATGCTTATGGCACTTTTGCTTCCTCGAGTGGTCGCAGAGGGCGCTGGACGCAGATTAGGCTCTGGGAATCCAAACATACCTACGTCCAACGACGGGCGTGTTTCGTGGTGGCAGTCCACAAGAAACCCCCACAAGAAGCCCAACCCTGAGACCCCTGGACGTCCAACGTCCACGAATTATTGGCGTGGGAACGTCACGCTTCCCACGGCAAGACCGTCGAAGCCCGAGAAACCCAGGGCACTCTGGAGGCGAGCAAAGGGTCTCTTGGCATGGGCCTCCAAGACATCCGCGCGGAGCGCCAAACGTTCATGTCTACGGCGCCTTTTCTTCTCCGAGTGGTCGCAGAGGGCGCTGGACGCAGATTGGGCTCCAGGAGTCTATACATTGGGCGCCCGAGTGATCCGGGGTAACTCGGGTCCGGGGTAATTCGGGTTTGGATTCCCGTAAAACAAACCCGAGTTAGCCCTGACCCGAATTACCCCTGATGATTTTGGGGCTCTGGACGCCCGAATTATCCGGGGCAACTCGGGTCCGGGGTACCTCGGGTTCGGAATCCCGAAAAACGAACCCGAGTTAGCCCTGACCCGAGTTACCCCTGATGATTCGGGGCTCTGAATACATGCCATACTCTCAACGACCAGCGTGTACGACGTTTTCTCTTCCTCGACTGGTCGCACGCCTCCGGCAGCCTCTCCGCGGGCGCGGCGGCGCCCCCCGCCGCGCGCGCCGGGCCCAGCGCGAGCCAGGTCCAGGCCGCGGCGCGCACGACCCCGCGCCCAGCCGGCATGGCGGCCTCCAGAGGCGCGCGCCGCCCGCCCGTTGCGAGGGGCGGGGCCGCCGCCGCCGGGGGACAGGCCTGGAGCAGGAGGGAGCAGGCCTCGGGCCAGGAGGGAGCGAGGGAGGGCTGGCGTAGAAGGGGCGGAGGGGGGGGGAGGGGGGAGGGGGAGGAGGAGGAGGAGGAGGAGGAGGAGGAGGAGGAGGAGGAGGAGGAGGAGGAGGAGGACGAGGAGGAGGAGGAGGAGGAGGAGGAGACGCTCGCGTGCTCGTCCATGCTCTGGGCCCCGCCCGGCGAGGAGGAGCGGCAATGGCAGCAGCGGCAGAGCAGGAGTGCAAGCCTCTCTGCTCAGCAGCAGGAAGGTCAGATCGGATTGCGCCTCGATGAAATTCGAGTGCACCCGCCCGCAATCGATACAGTCGGGGTTGATTGGAGAGGACACGCGAGAGGACACAAGTCCCGTCCGAGGGCCACATGGGTAGCCTCGGCTTGGCAGGGCCGACCTACTAATCAGTCTCGACTGTAGGCGGCGCGCCCGGGGGGGAAGTGAGAAGGAGCGGGCCTTCTCGGAAGGCTCGGAAGTCCCCCGGCCGTCTGAGAAGATTTCTGAGCCCTCCCGGAAGACTCGACAGCAACAACAAAAACGTCTCAAAAGGTGCGAGGGCGTCTGAAAGTCCCGCCGCCTTCTGAGAAGAACTTCTTCTTCTTCCTCTTCTTCTCATTCCCCCCCTTGCTCGCCGCCGGGTCAAGGAAGGATAGCCCTTGAACGCAGCTTCCGGCTAGCTAAAAGAAGCACTGCCTGGAGCTTCCACTCCCACTGGACCCTCATACTCGGTTCTGGACACAGGAAGAACAGGGAGGAGGCCCAGAACCCACACGGGGGATCCGTCGTCGTCCACAGCTCTGGAGCCCCGCGTCCCCGAGGACCTCGCGGAGTGCTGGACGTGGGCGCCTTCTCCCCCCCTCCTGGGGCGGAACGTACCACACGTCCGGCGCGGAGTGGGGACGACGAGGACGAGAAGGAGGAGGAGGAGGAGGAGGATCTGCATGCTGACCACATCCAGCTGCATACTCGCCCCGCAAATCTGCTGCGCGAGCCTGGCCTTCGTGACGGCTCCGCCCTCTGCGGTGTCTGAAGCTGTCTGCGCAGGCTCGGCAACGCCCCTCTTGGTCGCAGAGCTGACGTCCTGCTCCGTCCCCACTGTGACGCCCTGCTTCTGGGCCGCCAGAGTGGCGCTCTGCGTGGTCCCGGTGGCGGCGTCGGGCCGAAACTCGGTGGTCGTGGTCTCGGCAGCCTGTGGGCCGAAGGGCAGACGACGAAGATGCGACGCGCAGACCAGCATGTGACCGAGCGTGCCAGCAACGAGCCACCCGATCCACGGCCTGCCTAGGATGCCCCTGCAATGCCTCTATGGAGCCCCACGGCGTCGTCCCGATGGCTCGTGAACGTGGGCTGTGCCAGGGGCGCCAGAACCTGCCTCGTCCCTCCTCGCCTAACTCGGGCTCTTCGGGCCCGGTGGAGGGCCCCTGCCGATGTCTCGGGGCCGCGTCAGCCACCTTGGATTAGGTCGGGCAGGTCCCCCCACAGGCGGACTTTGGACGAAAAATAACAAATACCCAAACCATGCTCCAACATATCCAAACTAGTCCAAAACGTCCACATACTATGTTTGACTATTGTTGAATGTCCCTCCTGTAGAGGAGGAGGAGGAGGAGGAGGAGGAGGAGGAGGAGGAGGAGGAGAGAGAGGAGGAGGAGGAGGAGGAGAGAGGAGGAGGAGGAGGAGGAGGAGGAGGAGGAGGAGGAGGGGAGGAGGAGGAGGGAGGAGGGGAGGAGGAGGGGGAGGAGGAGGAGGAGGAGGAGGAGGAGGAAGACGGAGGAGGAGGAGGAGACGCTCGCGTGCTCGTCCATGATCTGGGCCCCGCCCGGCGAGGAGGAGCGGCAATGGCAGCAGCGGCGGAGCAGGAGTGCAAGCCTCTCTGCTCGGCAGCAGGAGGGTCAGATCGGATTGCGCCTCGATGAAATTCGAGTGCACCCGCCCGCAGTCGATACAGTCGGGGTTGATCGGAGAGGACACGCGAGAGGACACAAGTCCCGTGGGTAGCCTCGACTTGGCAGGGCCGACCCACTAATCAGTCTCGACTGTAGGCGGCGCGCCCGGGGGGGAAGTGAGAAGGAGCGGGCCTTCTCGGAAGGCTCGGAAGTCCCCCGGCCGTCTGACAAGATTTCTGAGCCCTCCCGGAAGACTCGACAGCAACAACAAAAACGTCTCAAAAGGTGCGAGGGCGTCTGAAAGTCCCGCCGCCTTCTGAGAAGAACTTCTTCTTCTTCCTCTTCTTCTCATTCCCCCCCTTGCTCGCCGCCGGGTCAAGGAAGGATAGCCCTTGAACGCAGCTTCCGGCTAGCTAAAAGAAGCACTGCCTGGAGCTTCCACTCCCACTGGACCCTCATACTCGGTTCTGGACACAGGAAGAACAGGGAGGAGGCCCAGAACCCACACGGGGGATCCGTCGTCGTCCACAGCTCTGGAGCCCCGCGTCCCCGAGGACCTCGCGGAGTGCTGGACGTGGGCGCCTTCTCCCCCCCTCCTGGGGCGGAACGTACCACACGTCCGGCGCGGAGTGGGGACGACGAGGACGAGAAGGAGGAGGAGGAGGAGGAGGATCTGCATGCTGACCACATCCAGCTGCATACTCTCCCCGCAAATCTGCTGCGCGAGCCTGGCCTTCGTGACGGCTCCGCCCTCTGCGGTGTCTGAAGCTGTCTGCGCAGGCTCGGCAACGCCCCTCTTGGTCGCAGAGCTGACGTCCTGCTCCGTCCCCACTGTGACGCCCTGCTTCTGGGCCGCCAGAGTGGCGCTCTGCGTGGTCCCGGTGGCGGCGTCGGGCCGAAACTCGGTGGTCGTGGTCTCGGCAGCCTGTGGGCCGAAGGGCAGACGACGAAGATGCGACGCGCAGACCAGCATGTGACCGAGCGTGCCAGCAACGAGCCACCCGATCCACGGCCTGCCTAGGATGCCCCTGCAATGCCTCTATGGAGCCCCACGGCGTCGTCCCGATGGCTCGTGAACGTGGGCTGTGCCAGGGGCGCCAGAACCTGCCTCGTCCCTCCTCGCCTAACTCGGGCTCTTCGGGCCCGGTGGAGGGCCCCTGCCGATGTCTCGGGGCCGCGTCAGCCACCTTGGATTAGGTCGGGCAGGTCCCCCCACAGGCGGACTTTGGACGAAAAAAACAAATACCCAAACCATGCTCAAACATATCCAAACTATGCAAAAACGTCCACATACTATGTTTGACTATTGTTGAATGTCCCTCCTGTAGAGGAGGAGGAGGAGGAGGAGGAGGAGGAGGAGGAGGAGGAGGAGGAGGAAGGAGAGAGAGGAGGAGGGGAGTGAGGAGGAGGAAATGAGGCGGAGGAGGAGGAGGAGGAGGAGGAGGAGGAGGAGGAGGAGGAGGAGGAGGAGGAGGAGGAGAGGAGGGGGAGGGGGGAGGAGAGGAGGAGAGGGGAGGGAGGAGGGGAGGAGGAGGAGGAGGAGGAGGAGGAGGAGGGGGAGAGGAGGAGGAGGAGGAGGAGACGCTCGCGTGCTCGTCCATGCTCTGGGCCCCGCCCGGCGAGGAGGAGCGGCAATGGCAGCAGCGGCAGAGCAAGAGTGCAAGCCTCTCTGCTCGGCAGCAGGAGGGTCAGATCGGATTGCGCCTCGATGAAATGCGAGTACACCTGCCCGCAGTCGATGCAGTTTGGGTTGATTGGACAGGACACGCGAGAGGACACAAGTCCCTTCCGAGGGCCACATGGGTAGCCTCGACTTGGCAGGGCCGACCCACTAATCAGTCTCGACTGTAGGCGGCGCGCCCGGGGGGGAAGTGAGAAGGAGCGGGCCTTCTCGGAAGGCTCGGAAGTCCACCGGCCTTCTGAGAAGATTTCTGAGCCCCCCCGAAAGACAGCAACAACAAAAACGTCTCAGAAGGTGCGAGGGCGTCTGAAAGTCCCGCCGCCTTCTGAGAAGAACTTCTTCTTCTTCTTCCCCCCCTTGCACGCCGCCGGGTCAAGGAAGGATAGCCCTTGAACGCAGCTTCCGGCTAGCTAAAAGAAGCACTGCCTGGAGCTTCCACCCCCACTGGACCCTCATACTGGGTTCTGGACACAGGAAGAACAGGGAGGAGGCCCAGAACCCACAGCTCTGGAGCCCCGCGTCCCCGAGGACCTCGCGGCGTGCTGGACGTGGGCGCCTTCTCCCCCCCTTCCCGGGGCGGAACGTACCACACGTCCAGCGCCGAGAGATGCTCTTCTGGGGCGCGTCCGGCAGACCGTCGGCAGACGTGGACACATCCCCGGCGCGGAGTGGGGACGACGAGGAGGAGGAGGAGGAGGAGGAGGAGGAGGAGGAGGAGGAGGATCTGCATGCTGACCACATCCAGCTGCATACTCTCCCCGCAAATCTGCTGCGCGAGCCTGGCCTTCGTGACGGCTCCGCCCTCTGCGGTGTCTGAAGCTGCCTGCGCAGGCTCGGCAACGCCCCTCTTGGTCGCAGAGCTGGCGGCCTGCTCCGTCCCCACTGTGACGCCCTGCTTCTGGGCCGCCAGAGTGGCGCTCTGCGTGGTCCCGGTGGCGGCGTCGGGCCGAAACTCGGTGGTCGTGGTCTCGACAGCCTGTGGGCCGAAGGGCAGACGACGACGATGCGACGCGCAGACCAGCATGTGACCGAGCGTGCCAGCAAGGAGCCACCCGATCCACGGCCTGCCTAGGATGCCCCTGCAATGCCTCTATGGAGCCCCACGGCGTCGCGCGCGAAGGTAAGGTGGGAACAAGACGCGCCACGTCGCGACACGGTGGGTGCATCTCCCGATGGCTCGTGAGCGTGGGCTGTGCCAGGGGCGCCAGAACCTGCCTCGTCCCTCCTCGCCTAACTCGGGCTCTTCGGGCCCGGTGGAGGGCCCCTGCCGATGTCTCGGGGCCGCGTCAGCCACCTTGGATTAGGTCGGGCAGGTCCCCCCACAGGCGGACTTTGGACGAAAAATTCGCCGGCCCAACGGGCCAGAGGCGTGCTAAGATCTCCGGTAACTGCTCTACAATGTTTCTACTTCGCGCGCGCGGGGCGGCCCCTGGGGGTCCCCAGACGAAAAGTACCCCGACCAGGTCCCGGCCGGTCCCCGGCAAGGTCCCCGGCAAGGTCCCCGGCAAGGTCCCCGGCAAGGTCCCCGCAAGGTCGGGCCAGAGATGCCGGAGCCCTGTTACAGGGCCCCAGGACGGGCCAAGAGGCCCCCAAGAAGCCTCCAAGACGGTCCAAGAGGGCCCCGAGACGGCCAAAGATCGCCCGAAGACGCCCAACAGGGCCCCAAGACAGCCCAAGAGGCCTCCAAGACGCCCCAAGGGCCTTCCAAGAGGCCTCCGAAGAGGGCCCCAAGAGGCCAAAATCGTTGATTTTCATTGTTTTTTTCGCTGTTTTTGCGTTCTGGCTTTTTCGGCTTCCGGACGCTCCAAGACGGCCCAAGAGGCCCCCAAGACCGCTCCAAGACGGCCCATGAGGCTCCCAAGACGGCCCCGGAACGGCCCAGGAGGGCCCCCAAGACGGCCCAAGTGCCGCCCAAGACGGACCAAGAGGCCCCAAGACGGGCCCAAGAGGGGCTCAAGAGGGGAACCGAGAACTGAAAAATCGAGCCCTCCGCCCCAGAAGGCGCCCAGGAGGCCCCAAAAAGGCCCCAAGAGGCCCCCAAGAGGCCCCCAAGACGCCCCAAGAGGCGCCCAAGAGGCCCAAAAGAGGCCCCAAGAGGCCCCAAAACGGCCCCCAAGAGGCCCCAAAACTCGGCTAGCCCACAACTGTGCGACAATATGGGCCGGCGGAATGAGCGAAACGATTAAATAACAAATACCCAAACCATGCTCAAACATATCCAAAATATTCCAAAACGTCTACATCCTATGTTTGACTATTGTTGAATGTCCCTCCTGTAGGGGCATGCCCGACTTAAGGATTGGATCTCCTGGCGGGCATCGCTTCCTTCCCCAAACTACACCGCAGGCCTGCCTTCGGAAACGCGCAGCCCTCCGCTGTGCTTTTGCCGCCGCCGTGCGCCGCCGTCCGCCCGAGGACCTGACTTCTGTCCTCGGGGGCAGGGGCCCCTCGAGAGGAGCGCGCCACCAGTTCCTCCTCCTCCTCCTCCTCCTCCTCCTCCTCCTCCTCCTCCTCCTCCTCCTCCTCCTCCTCCTCCTCCTCCTCCTCCTCCTCCCTCCTCCTCCTCCTCCTCCTCCTCCTCCTCCTCCTCCTCCTCCTCCTCCTCCTTCTCCTCCTCCTCCTCCTCCTCCTCCTCCTCCTCCTCCTTCCTCCTCCTCCTCCTCCTCCTCCTCCTCCTCTCCTCTCCTCCTCCTCCTCCTCCTCCTCCTCCTCCTCCTCCTCCTCCTCCTCCTCCTCCTCCTCCTCCTCCTCCTCCTCCTCCTCCTCCTCCTCCTCCTCCTCCTCCTCCTCCTCCTCCTCCTCCTCCTCCCTCCTCCCCTCCTCCTCCTCCTCCTCCTCCTCCTCCTCCTCCTCCTCCTCCTCCTCCTCCTCCTCCTCCCTCCTCCTCCTCCTCCCCCCCTCCTCCTCCTCCTCTTCCTCCTCCTCCTCCTCCTCCTCCTCCTCCTCCTCCTCTTCCTCCTCCTACTCTTCCTCCTCCTCCGCTTCCCCCTCCTCTCTGGCGGATCTCGGAAATTCTGAGCCCAAAAACGTTCTGCCTCATCTCTTGGGGGCGCATCTGTTACTTGGGCCGACCTTCCGCCGCCCTCCGCGGCGGAGGAGATGACAGCTCCTCCGAGCCTCGACGGCAAGGCCGCGTTTGGAGCGCCTCAGATAGATGGAGCGTGGCGGGGGGTCGTGCGGGGGCCCTGCTGCGCTGCGCTCCGAGAGGCCCGAAGAGGTGTACGGCCCCAGATGAAGGGAGAGAATCAACGGGGGAAAGGAAGGCAAACGGGACAGGGGAGGGGGGCATCCATCCGAGGAGCGACTTCCTGTTCCCCGCGCGAGGGGCGCCATCTCGTGCGGGGCCCACCGACAGGACACCACCCCAGAAAACAAATCCCTCCCCCTCCCCCTCCCCCTCCCCCTCCCCCTCCTCCTCCTCCTCCTCCTCCTCCTCCTCCTCCTCCTCCTCCTCCTCCTCCTCCTCCTCCGGGTCGGTCTCTCCAAAGACCCGAAAAAGGGGGGCGGCACTGCTCCCCACGCGCAGGCCTGTCCGCGCAGCAGGGCACAGGGCCCCACACCAGGAGGATCTCCCTGTGGGCACGCGACGCATGTCCCACGCCTCCGGGGGCCAATCTAAGATCACCCCATGAGACCGCCAGGGGGGGGGGGGGGGCGGAGGTTGGGGGGCAACTACTGGTAGGTACTCGTCGGAATGATTCGGGCGGATAAAGCCCCCCGGGGGGGGGGTACCGCGCCGGATTAGGCCGCGGATTCAGCGGGGGTGAGCCAGATTAAGCAGGATCAAGCAGGAATGAGCCAGAAGAGGCCGAATTTCGGGCCAGGGCAGAGTCACAATTTGACCTCCCAAGAACTGTATCCAACTTGAAGGAGGTTGTGCGAACCTCCTGCCCGCAATCAGGGAGGAACTACGCACCGAGCGTCGACATTCCGTCAACGATGTTGCTGCATCAGGCTTCTACCTCCTCCTCCAGCGCCGCCTCCTCTTGCTCCTCACTCTCGTCGCCCTCGTCTCGCTCGGCTTCTTCCTCGTGCTCCTCCTCATCCTCGCTGTCGTCCCAATCCGCCCCACCCCCTCGTGCTCCAGAGTGCAGATGAGTTAAATTCCCGCTCTCGGTCCAAGCAACATTCACCATTCGCAATGTCAGCGTGACGTATTCCCCCGATATGTTGTATAATAGGTTTCAGTGTCTTTCAAAACTGGCATGCGTGCGATAAGGGCAAATCTGCCCCAAGGGCCTGGGGCATCGAACTAAAACTGACTTAGGCGCACAACGAGGAATGATATACCATGATGATAAACAGATCGTTATGCTGGCAGATTCGTCCCGATCTGCAAAAAAGTCCCCTTCGATTAGAAGCCGCCACAACACAGGAATCGCTTATCGGCATCCTCGTGCTCTCCCCATTTCATTCACTTCCCCCTCTCTTTCCCTCTCTCTCTCTCTCCCTCCCTCTATTCCTTTCTCTCATTCTCTTTATCATGTGTTGTCTCTCTCTCTCTCTCTCCTTCACTCTGGACCTCTCGCTTTCTACTCCGAACTCTCCGTCTTCTCTCTCGGAATTCGTTCTGACCTGGATTTCGCGGCGAACTGAGCCGTGGCGACGAAGGAAGGGCAGCGGTATCGGCATCTCTTCTTAGTCTCCCCGTCTTCCTTCGCATGGGGGAAAGCGGGTCCTGAGAGAAACGGGTCCTGGACCCGTCTCCTCCTCTCCTCACTCCCCCCCCCCCTTCCGAACGGTGAGGTCGGGCGTGTCCCCCTACCGGCGGATTTTGGACGAAATGTTGAAAGTATCCCACAAATGCTCCAAAAACAATAAAAACACAACCGCCCCTGGACTATTGTTTGCCTACTTGTGAATATTTCTGAAGGGGCCCTGGGACACACAAATAAATACACACAAATAAACATATTCCCCATATTCTCCAATATCTTCTGGGTTTTTGTCTTCCCCCCCACTCCCCATATTTTCCCATATTTTCTGGGGAATCGCCGATTAATTGTGTCTGTGTGTTTCTTTCCCTCTTGAATTTCTCCCGTAGAGAGACCGGCCCGACTCCACCGAGCGGCGGCGCAGACACGCGCCTCCTCCCCGGCAGCGCTCGGCGGGGCCGCCGGGGCCCCCGCGCTCCGCGCGAAGCAGAAGGAGCCGAGCATCCCCGTGCTGCGCGCCACGGGGCCGGCGCCGTGGTGCCCCACGCGGGGGTCCTGCCCTCCCCGGGCAGGGCGGAGGACGAGGACAGCATCGGGCGGGGACAGGTCGGGAGTCTCTGATCGGGAGCTGGGCGAGGGGCGGCAAGGCAGTGGCTGCTATAAAACGCTGTTTTCTTTCGGGCCAAAAGCAATCCTCGCAAACTGCCAGGACACTAGGTCCGGTCGGCTTGGCTGCTGGGTTTTGTCTGGCAGCGTTGGGCCGGCTCGGAAGATAACATATAAATCACAAATGAAACTGGACCATGTGTAGGGGGCGAAGGCGCAAGAAGAGTGCCGAGGCACGCGGGTACAGCTTTGGATGAAGTCCTGAATTGGGTGGGGGCGAAGCAGAGCCAAGCCCCTGGGGGCCCACGGAGCCCGAAGAGGAAGGGGAGGGGGGGAGGGAGGGCAGAGACCAGAGAATCGCCGCCCAGGCGTCAACTTGCCAACCTGGCAGGTCCGAGCGGCGCTCAATTCACGAACGCATGATGCCCCGGGGCGTCCGGTGGCACGTTGCTTGCCACTCTGTCTAAGACCAAAGGGCACACCGAGTCCGCATCCGTAGTGAACTCACGGTACGCATGGTCTATGCGCACCAAGTCTGCGGATGGGAGACGGCGCAACCTTCCAAGCATCGCCAAGGCGCGCTCGCAGGCTGGACGCAGCGCAATGCACGCACATCTCCACTCGTATCTCAACTGCCGGGCCACCAATAGAGAATCCAGCAAAAAGCGCATTCTCGGGGCAGGATCCTCGACAGCATGCCCCATTGAAAGCAACATCCCTGCATACGCTGCCTTGTTGTTCGCTACGTTGCCGAGGAACGTGCCACAACATGCAACTACGCGTCTCTCACCTCCGTGAAAACGCACGCTGCCGCAAGAAGAATGGCTCTGCCCCGTTGCCCTCTGCTGACGAGCGGCCCTGTCTGAGGCATGGACCGTCCACCCGGGCTCAAAAATAAGCGCAACCCCCGCTCTAACTCCGCGCCTTTCCGAACGCGGAAAGACAAAAACAGTCTCCCCGGAATAACAATTTGCTAAAACGATCTTCCCGGAAAGACAAAACATATGTTCCCGGGACCAAGCTCAGCGCACTGACTAAAAAAACGGGCTGCTCCCCAGAAGAAAAAAGCAATTTCCTGGAGCTCCGTTTTAGCAGCCACGGATTTGCCAGCCGTCGCCCGGCTTCTCATCTGAGATCCGGCGGACATGGAAGCCATGTTTTCTTGAAACCGCATAACGCGCGTTATGTGGCTGGGTGGGTGGGTGAGTTCGCTGGCACAGAACATAGCACAGTCGCGCCAAGCCGCTCGGATGCTTTTTTCTGAGAGCACTGTCCTGAGCAACGGGCGCTGCTGCAACGGAGGTTGGCGGGACGGCGGGCGTCACGCCATCTGCTGGGCGGGTGTGTGGGTTGGAGGTCAAATAACGCGCGTTGTGCTCGAGTGAAGCCAGACATGTGTCGTCCTGTTTTTTTTCGGGGCGGCGTCCATGAAGTCCCGACCCTTTCCCCGGGACCGGTTTTTCATCCTGAATCGTTTTCTGACGGTCCCGAGGCCCTGCGAGGGCCCCCCGAGGCCGACAGTTGGCAGAAACCTCACGTCCTGATTTTTTGTTTACTACGCGATCATGTCTCGGAAAAGAGCTTCAACTTTTGGAGGGATGCCTCGGGCGCCGCGGCCTTCTCAGGGCGTTCCGAGAGGCCCTGCGAGCATTCCGGAACGTTCTGGGGCGGCGCCCGCACGCGCAGGCGGCCTACGGGCCGCGGAGACCGCGGGAAGCCGCCGCGCGGCGTCGTCGTGGTCGTCGTGGTCGTCGTCGTCGTCGTCGTGGTCGTCGTGGTCGTCGTCGTCGTCGTCGTGGTTGTCGTCGTCGTCGTGGTCGTCGTCGTCGTCGTGGTCGTCGTCGTCGTCGACGTGGTCGTGGTCGTCGTCGTCGTTGTCGTCGTCGTCGTCGTGGTCGTGGTCGTCGTCGTCGTCGTCGTCGTCGTCGTCGTCGTCGTCGTCGTCGTCGTCGTCGTGGTCGTGGTCGTCGTCGTCGTCGTCGTGGTCGTCGTCGTCGTCGTCGTCGTCGTCGTGGTCGTGGTCGTCGTCGTCGTCGTCGTGGTCGTCGTCGTCGTCGTGGTCGTCGTCATGCCCCATCCGACTTGGGCCCGTCAGCACGGGCTTCCTCCATGCCAGAAGCGACGACGACGCCCGACGGCCGACGACGGTCGAGGCTTTGGGCCTCCCGGGGGGCCCCCAGCCAAGCCACGGCTGGGCGCCCGAAGACGACGCAGGCAAAAATTAGACCAATGGAGGCCAGTCCACAAGAAACCTTCCACAAAAGACCCATTCCTGAGACCCCAGGACGTCCGTGGATTTTTGGTGCGGGAGCGTCGCGCTCTCCTCGGCAAAACCATCGAGGCCCAAGAACCCCAGGGCACCCTGGAGGCAAGCAGGGTGTTGCTTGGCATGGGTCTCCACTAGAAGTTGTCCTTGGGCGGCCGAAGAGGCCCCCAAGATCGCTCCAATATGGCCGCGTAGGCGCCCAAGAGGGCCCCAAGGCGAGCCCAGGACGGCCCAAGCAAGAGACCCCCAAGACGGCTCCAAGACGCTCTAAGTGCCCCCGGAAGGGCCCCAGGCGGCCAAGGAGGGACCCAAGGCGGCCCAACAGGGCCCCCAGACCCCTCCAGAACCGCCCCAAAAAGCCTACAGAATTGCCCAGAGGGACCAAGAAGGCCCCTGAGGCCCCCAAGAAGGCCCAAGAGGCCCCCAAGATGGCCTCAAACTGCCTCCATAGACCCCGAAGAATGCCCACCCGGGACCTTGCATTAGTTCGGCGACGGTCATCAAATATCAATAGACTATACACATGCGTATCTACATACATATATATAGATCGATTCATATATATAGAGACATATACGTAATACATACACAACTACGTATATAGAACTCGATAACTGTAAAACTCTATAACTATATATCAATACATGAATACACAACTGCATAACTATATAACTGCAGCGTCATCTCTGGAGGGGACCTGGGACGGGAAGCGCGCAGTACCAGGTAGCTACTATGGTCGGCCCTCTCACGCTCCCCGTTGACTTACTCCTCGTCCCTCTCGCTCCCTGCTCAACCAACTCAGGTTATGGCCCCGTGGAGCCCACCAAAAAGCCTTCGGAGACCACCAAGGACTTGATGAGCCCCGCCATCTCCCTCCTGCTCCTCCACTCCCTCCTCCTCCTCCTCCTCCTCCTCTGCCCTCTTCCCTCCTCGTTCCTCCTTTGTGGAGGCCCACGGATCCCCCAAAGGCGCATACAGCATGGCAAACAGCAACCAAATGCCTTCATCCTCGATTCTCTTCTTACCGCCATAAAGGAAGCAAGCCAGAAAAAACAGCACACGCAGAATTAGAAGAAGAACAGAAACACATAAACATCAACTTTTGGCGCTCCGAGCGGATTTCTTCGATCCGCGCTGTGCCCCCCCTCCCTGGCGCGCGGATCGCGCCACGGGCGGCGCCGGAGGCGCCGCCAAGGGGGCCCAGCGCGGATCCAAGAAACCCGCGCGGAGCGCCAAAAGTTTATGTGCATGGCGCTGTTGCGTCTTCCTCGAGAAAGACTGCACCCGCAGAACCCGGACGCAGGAGGAGGAGGAGGAGGAGGAGGAGGAGGAGGAGGAGGGGGAGGAGGAGGAGGGGGAGGAGGAGGAGGAATGATGATGAGGAGGAGGAGGAGGAGGAGGAGGAGGACCGGAGGTCCGCGCGGGCCTCTCGGAGCGGCGCGGGGCCCCGCCCCCCAGCGCGCAGGGCGCGCGCCACTGGGGGGGGGGGCGCCGGAGGCTCTGCCAGGGAGAGGGGGGGGTGCCTCGCGCCGCGCCGAGAACGCCGCGCGGAACGCCGACCACTGGTGCGTACGGCAGGTTCGTACAGTGCCGTTTTGAGTACATAGTTTTTTTTTTAAAAATAAAAAAAAATGGAATTCTTAATACATGATTAATTTACGAATGAATTCATGCATGAACTCATCGTTGTTTGTCGTACTGAATCCCTGCATTTTTAGCACATGATCCGCACGCGGAGCATGTATTAAAACGGCACTGTACGGCGCCAGCGCGCGCGCAGAGGTTTTTGACACCGCGTCGATCGTTCAAGCCAGAACCGATCGCGGCCCTGTTCAAAGGTGAACTCCGTCGGGCCCACTGGCGCTACCGCGTCCCTTCGGCGCTTCCGCGTCACAGAAAATTCAACCTTGAACGCCTTCGCTGGCGTCGATGGCGCGTCATCGCCGCATGAACCTTCCGTAGGCGTCGGTCGTAAGTACCAGGTGAAGACATGAAGCAGGCAGGCGGACAAAGGTGAACTGGTCCAGTCCCTCCAGGAGAACATAACAAAACACAGCGAAAGCACATCGACTCTTGAAGTAGGAGGGCGCTTGAAGTAGACTGGGATCTGGGAAGCTATATATGTCTATTCGCATATATATATATATGTATAGGTTCAGCGACTGACGGGTATTCCGTTTGTTCTTCGACCCCTGGCCCCCTCCATGACCCAGTGTGGATCAGGATGTTCGAACTGGTCCATCGCCAACACGCACATGCCGGCGTTGCCAGGGAGCGGGAAGAACGAGTACCCGCGGCACACGTTGGAGCCCAGCTCCTTCGGAGGGAGCACCAGCACGGGCCCTCACGCAGAAAGGGTCCACTGACCACGGGAGGAACGAGTGGACACAGCCCAGGTCCTCATCCTTGTCCCTGTTGGACAAGGAAAAAAAGAAAGGATGATTACAATATTGATGTATCACGATGATGATGGAAACAAAGATGGTGAAGGTTGTGATGATGATGATAATGATGATGGGGAGGATGATACTGATCTTGATAATGATACGATGATGACGACGATGATGATGATTGCGACGGTGTTTATGCGGACAACGATGGCGACGGTGAATGTGGTGGTGAGCCCGACGCTGATTATGATGATGACGATGATTGTGATGATGAGGAGGATGCCGATGATGATGCTAATAATAGTGATGATAATAATAATCATAATGGTGATGGTGATGGTGATGGTGGTGATGATGATGGTGATGATAATGATGATCAACACCGTGATGGACGACACATCTAACTACATCGCATTTTCCCGTGAGCCTCCTACCAACTTGCGATACCCCCCTGAGATCTGGCCCTGGTCGACTCCCTGAACCTGGCGCATCCAAGTACCGGCAAGGAAATATCGTTAGACACCCTGGAAGGCGAGGAGCAGCCTAACAATATCGCATGTTCCCCGCAAGGATCCAACCACCTCGCGGTATCCTCTCAAATGGGGGTGGCTGGGAGGAGAATGAGGAACAGGATCACCCAGCCCTCACCTCGCCACCCGTCCCACAAACAGATCTGTCGTGGAGTTGGTGACGTTGATGGTGATGATGCTGATGATGATGATGATGCAGATAATGGTCATGTTTATGATGTTGATGATGACGATACTGTTGATGGTGATGATGTTGGTGATGATGCTGATGTTGACGATGGCGATGATGATGGTGCTGACGATGAAAACGATGACGACGATGATGATGAAAATGATGATGATGATGATGATGATGATGATGATGATGATGATGCTGATTGTGATGGTGATGATGATGAGGACGATTAATATGCTGATGATGCCGCTGATGATGAGGATGCTGATGGTGGTGAGGTGATGATGATGATACTGATGTGCATGATGATGATGGTGCTGCTGCTGCTGATGATGATGATGATGATGCTGATAATAATGGTGATGATGATGGTGATGGTGATGATGATCCGGCGTGCCTTCTGCGGCAACGCAGGGGAGCATCACATATCATCTTGTTGGCTCTTGCGGCTCGACACTAACGCTAAATCTATATTAAATCCGCTGGCCCTGTCGGCGTGTGTGAAGGGCTTGTCTGTTCGAGTCGTCAACTCCTCCGTCGTCCCGTTTCCCTGCGCCCCCCCTCCTCAAGCCTGCAGGCGAAAGAAGAATCTAGCAATGTCCTAATCGTGTCGAAGGGAAGCCCGTTCCCTTTGATCCCTCCCCCGTCGGTGGGAGGTCCTGGGGGGGGTCCTGAGGTGGGTCTCTGGGGGGTGTTCAGATAATTACGCAGCATCCCCCCCTGGGGGTCCTGGGGCTTCAGGAAGTACGAAGACAGGCTAAGATTGCCCGAAGAGGCCCCCGAGAAGGTCTAAGAGGGTCCCTAATCGCCAAACTGTCGGTCAAAAAAAGGCCCAAGAGGTCCACAAGAGGCCCACAAGAGGCCCCAGGAAGCCCGAAGAGGCCCTAAGAGGCTCCAGAGAGGCCCCCAAAAAGCTCCCAACGGGCCCAAGGATTCCTCCTCAGAGGCCCCCGAGAGCCTTCCGAAGAGACCCCAAGATACGTCCCCCCGGCCCATGTCAGTGTTGCGTCGTCGTCGCAGCCGCCGTCGTCGCCGTCCCCCTTCAGAGTCGCCGTTCCCCTTCAGAGTCGGCGGCATCGGCCGCAAGGCCTTCACCATCAACGCTACCTCATCAAGTACCAGACCCGAATAGACGCTAAATGCACTCTGACGACAGATTCGCGAGGGTACACAGGCCTCCTGTGCTCTGCCACCGGAGCGCACCAGAGAACGGACAAGCCCATGGAGGCCTAGAAATGGGCACCAACACCAACACAGGGGGTTGCCTCCACATGGTGAACATGATTCTAGATTTCGGTGTTGGTGGCAATATTTCGGTCACTTTGGAAGCCAGAATATTACCACCATCACCGAGATCGGGATTTTCTTCCCTTGGTAGAGGCACACCGCCGATATTGGTGTTGGTGTCAACCTCTAGGCCTGCGAACAGCCAGGGGGGCGACGATGGGGGCGAACAGACCGGGGGGGAGCAACAAGTGCATCCAGGGGCGCCGACGGCACGTGCCTTCGGCAAGGCTCCCCCACGAACTCCTGTAAGGCCTCTACTGGGGAAGCCAAAAGGTACCGATGCCGCTGCTCGGACCGTTTCGGCGGCGGGCAGGCATCCCCGCAGCGGGCTGCTTGAGCTCGCAGCGTGTCCTGAGGCCTTTTCAAAGCGTTTCCCAATACGCGTGCTCAGAAACCACAAGTGCCTGCCCGGGAGCCGGCCGGCTTGTTCTCAAACAATTCTTTTAGCTCTCACTCCCAGGGTGTGCCGTGACCAGGATCCCGAGGCGAATCCAGCCGTGGCAGCGAAGGGACCTCCCAGGAGGCCCAAAGCAGGGAAAACGAGGGAAGGGTAGCGGGATGGGTACCTGTTCCTCCTCCGACTCCCCTTTGTTGCTGCGCCCGTTTGGGACCACCTGGGCACCCCCAGAACGCTCTCGGCGAGGCGCGGCCGCTGGAGAGCATCCCGAGGCCGAGAGACCGCCGCGAGCCGAGGAAAACCGCCGAAAACCTCGAGCCTCGGACCTCCGGTGGCGGAGAATACGCCGCTTCCTCCTCTGACCTGCCGGCCCCCTGCAGACGGACCTGGGCCAGAATGACATCCCTCAAGAGCATGAGATCCTCTGCCGGCCAAGACGGACAGAACGTCCAAGGGCACCCTCCCCCAGGATGCGGAAGAACGTCCACCAAACACGAAGAACACCAGGGTATCATACCCGAACCGACCTCGATTCGATAACAGGGGAGAGATAATAATAAAACGCGGGGCCACGGGGGGGATACTCAAAGACTGTCCCCGCCAGGTCAGCATAAAGGATGCTGAGGGGGGGCTGAGGGTGCTCCCCCCTCCTCCTCCCCCCTCCTCCTCCTCCTCCTCCTCCTCCTCCTCCTCCTCCTCCTCCTCCTCCTCCTCCGCCCCCATCCTCTGCCCTCCTCCTCTGCCCCCCTTCTCCTCTTCCTTCTCCTTCTCCTCATCCTCCCCCTCCTCCTCCCCTCCTCCTCCTCCTCCTCCTCCTCCTCCTCCTCCTCCCTCCTCCTCGTCCTCCTCCTCCTCCTCCTCCTCCTCCTCCTCCTCCTCCCTCCTCCCTCCCTCCCTTCCTCCCTCCCTCCCTCCCTCCCTTCCTCCCTGCTCCTCCTCCTCCTCCTCCTCCTCTGTCCTCTTCCCTCTTCTTTCCTCCTCTGGAAGTCCACGGATCCCCCAACGGCGCATTCAACATGGCAGCAGCAAGCAAACGCCTTCATCCTCGACCCCCTTCTTACCCCCTTAGAGAAACAGCACACTGCAACAACAGAAACTGTTGGAGGTGCGCGCGGGTTTCTCAGATCGTCGCTGGACCCCACTCCCCGGCGCGCGAAGCGCGCCAAGGGAAGCGCCGGAAGCTCTGCCAGGGGGGGACCAGCGCCGATCCGAGAACGCCGCGCGGAACTCAGACAATTTACACGTCGACACCGGTCGGAAGTACGCAAACACATGAAGTAGGAAGGCGGATAATGTAGACTGAGTTCAGGCCCTCGCAGGGAATAACAACACACAGCAAAAGCACATCGGTTCTTGAAGCAGGAAGGCGCTTGAAGCAAATTGGGATCTGGGGATCCAGCTACCTACTTTCAACGGCAGGCGTGTACAGTGAAGTCAAGACTGACTCGGTAGTAAGGATGCACGATGAGGATGCAAGCCCCTTGGACGCCCATGTCGAAGCTTTCCGAGCGGGGCTGGCCACTGGGAGTAGCCAGGGATGGACCAAAGAGGCACGGATGGACCAAGGGGCATCCCTGGGAAAGCTGAGTCTCGCTTCTTACTATCGGTTTCGACGATAGGTTCGCGGGGCGTGGGCGCGCGGACACCTTTGGTACCGCGTCGATCGTGCAACCCCGAATCGATCGCGGTCCCGATCGTGCAGCATTGAATGCCGTCGGGCCCAGAGTCGTTACCGTGCTCCTCAGTGCCTCCACGTCGCTCTTGCACGCGGAGTTCAACCTTCGACGCCTTCGTCGACGTTGTCGGCGCGCCATCGCCGCATGAACCTACCGTAATCCTCCCAGACGCCAGACGCGACGATGATCACGAGCACGAGCGCCGACACGGAGGAGGCCGTCAACTGCACGGGACGTGCTGCTGCGGCAGCGGGGTCAAACGCGAAGGAGTCCACCGCTGAACAGAAGTCGGGGTTGAGGGGAAGGGGGCGGTCTCCAGTGAGACGGAGCCAGGACTGGGGCAACATCGGACCGGAACACATGGAGGATCTCTGAGATCCAGCGGTTCTGGAGGATGTATCGGGCGACGCGGCCGTTCCAGAGCGCTCTGGAACGATCTGAGAGCGTTCCAGAGCGATCGATTCATCCCAATCGCAGCCCAGCCCGACCGAGGTTACCGCAAGCACATCGGGGGGCACTTCCTGCTGAGCGTGCGTGCAGCTCAGCAGCTCCGCTGGGCGGCCAGCGATGTGCGCCACCCTCCACGCGGCCAGTATACCCACTGAGCTGCAGCTGGCCGCGCCACGCCTGCTGCGGGCCAATGCGATGGGCCGCGCTGAGCGAGCGCGACTCGCGATCCTGGCTGCCGGCTCTGGCCCTCCTCGCGCGGCCGCGGGCCCACTGCTCCCCCCCCAGTGGGCCGGCGAGAGGGCTGCCCAGACGGGGCGAGCCCCCGCCTTCAGCCTGCCCCCGGCGTCGCCCTCGTCGCGTCGTGGTGTGGCCCGCCGGGGCACTCGAGGCTCAGCGTCATCCCTGCGCCCTTCGCGCAGACGGCGCCGCACTTCTCTTGCATGGCAGGTTCGTGTCGTGACGACCCCGGCGTTGGTTTCAGACACCGCGTGGATCGTACAACCTTGAACGATCGGCGGCTTTTCGATCGCCCGATCGTTCCATGCTGGTCGATTCTGGGCCACTGGCGGCGTTCAACCTTGAACGCCCGCGGCGGGGTCGCCGAGGGTCTGCCTACCGCACGCAGGAGAGTAGTGGGTCGCCCCCCGGTTTCCCGTGGCTGGTGTGCACGGGCAAGGTCCTCTGGTGCAGGGGCGCCCCAGCGCCAGGACGAGTCTGCATGCGCGGGCGCGGCGGCCACGGGTGCGGGCAACGGCGGGCCCGGGCCGCGGCTGTCCTGCTGCCTTCCACCGCGAGGGCGCCGCCGCACGTGGTTGCGCCGCGATCTCGGCCGCCTGCTGCCGCCAGCGCTGCGCCTGCCGCTTCCTCCGTGTCTCCTGACACCACGCCGCAGCGGGAGCCGCCGAGCGCTGCGCGTCGGTGTGCAAGCTCGCCGCGGCCCCGCCACCTGGCGCTCACCGCACCGACACAGACAGGCCACCAAAGAAGCAGCGGCCGCTGGCCCGCTGACTGCGTCCCTGGACCTTTCAGCGGAAGCGCGTCGAGGTTTAGCCCGTTCGCGAAGCCCGTCGGCCGTCAGGACCGCGTCGCCCTCCTCCTCCTCCTCCTCCTCCTCCTCCTCCTCCTCCTCCTCCTCCTCCTCTCCTCCTCTCCTCCTCCTCTCCTCCTCTCCTCCTCTCCTCCTCCTCTCCTCTCCTCCTCTCCTCCTCTCCTCCTCTCCTCCTCTCCTCCTCTCCTCCTCCTCCTCCTCCTCCTCCTCCTCCTCCTCCTCCTCCTCCTACTCCTCCTCCTCCTCCTCCTCCTCTCCCTCCTCCTCCCTCCTCCTGCTCCTCCTGCTCCTCCTCCTCCTCCTCCTCCTCTCCTCCTCGCCTCCTCCTCCTCCTCCTCCCTCCTCCTCCCTCCTCCTCCTCCTCCTCCTCCTCCTCCTCCTCCTCCTCTCCTCCTCTCCTCTCCCCTCCTCTCCTCTCCTCTCCTCTCCTCTCCTCTCCCTCCTCTCCTCTCCTCTCCTCTCCCTCCCCTCCCCTCCTCTCCTCTCCTCTCCTCTCCTCTCCTCTCCCTCTCTCCTCCTCTCCTCTCCTCTCCTCTCCCTTCCTCTCCGCTCCGCTCCGCTCCGCTCCTCTCCTCTCCTCTCCTCTCCCTCCTCTTCTCTCCTCTCCTCTCTCCTCTCCTCTCCTCTCCTCTCCTCTCCTCTCCTCTCCGCTCCGCTCCGCTCCTCTCCTCTCCTCTCTCTCTCTCCTCTCCTCCTCCTCGTCCTCGTCCTCGTCCTCGTCCTCGTCCTCGTCCTCCTCCTCCTCCTGCTCCTGCTCCTCCTCCTCCTCCTCCTCCTCCCTCCTCCTCCTCCTCCTCCTCCTAGTCCTCCTCTTCCTTCTCCTCGTCCCTCGTCCTCGTCCTCCTCCTCCTCCTCCTCCTCCTCCTCCTCCGCCTCCTCCTCCTCCTCCTCGTCCTCCTCCTTCTCCTCCTCTCCCTGGCGATCGAGGGATGACTGCCGCTGGCCTCGATGCCCTCCTCGCCCTGAGGCTGCATCGCGGCGCTCCGGCGAACACGGCAATCAGCGTGCTGGTTTCACTCCTCGTGCCGCGTTCCGCCGCGCGTCCCTTGGCCTTCGCGACTACCTACCAAACCACCCCAACCCAACCCGAAGACCCAAACTTGACCCGAATTTTCGGGTCTGGGGGGGTACGGGTTCCATGTGTGTGTCCATGTTCCCCGACCCCCCACACTGAAACAGGAGGGCAAATTGAGGACTTCGGGTTGGGTTGGGGTGGTTTGATGGGTGGTGGCCTTCGCGGTCTGGACAATGTCGACGTCCTCGGCCAAGCGCCACAGAATCTCGCGCCGCGGCTCCGCCCACTCGCGGCGCCGCGGTGGCCGCCCCGAACCCCGCCCGCGGACAAGCAGGGCGCCGTGCCTGAACACGTGGAGGGGCGAGGATCAAGGCCGCAGGGCGTCGGCAGGCACCCCAGAAGCTCGACCGCGCTGGAGCCTCGGGCAGCGGCCAGGGTATGCGCCCCCCGACGCTGCTGACCACCGCAGGCGTCCTAGCCCAGTGCCAGGGCAAAACGACCACATCTCACGTGCGCGTCGGATTCGTGTGCGCGTCGGATTGTCGGCGAACGCGCCCCCCGTGAGCTCGCCGCCGAATACGGCGCCAAAGGTCAGCTGCAGCTGCACCTCCCTTGCTGCCATCGGGGAAGCCTCGCGGCGCCCCTGGCAGGAGCCCGCGCGACCACGAGGCTCGCTCACCGCCGCCGCCGTCACGCCCCCGGACGCGAAGCGGGCGGGCCTTACCTCCCCGGTGCGACCGCAGAACCGCGCGAGGTGCTGCGCGTTTCCGATGCCCTCGCAGCCGCGCGGGCGCTGCGGAGCGGAGCGCAGCAGCGCGTCGGCCGCCGCCCGTCGCGACACCAGCCACCGACCCCAGGAGCCCGAGCCCAAGCCCGAAAGCGAGCCCGAGGTCGAGCCCGAGCCCCATCGGAGGACGCGCTGGCGGATACGGTGTTGAAATGCGTCTCCAGAGCAACGCCCCGTGCCCGAAGCCCCTAAAAGCGTCTCGCAATCAACAGCTGTTGCAACACATGGGTCCAAAGTGATTGCGGACGGTGATTGTGATGCGGGTGGTGATGACGATGATCGAGTAAGGCGACGAAAAGCTGGATGTGCGGGTGATGGTGTATGATGGAAAGCATAAAAATCGCGTGTGGCTGGATATAAGACGGCAGATATCAGCAGGATCCCGTGTTCTCTGGAGACAGGTCTCTAACGTGGAGCTGAAAATACAAGAAGACAAACACAGTATGCGCCAATGAAGGAGACAACGTTTATGAGACAGGGAAGCTATCAACAGGAAAGTGGCTGGAGCAGGCCCAGCTGAGAGAGAGAGAGAGAGAGAAAGAGAGGAGAGAGGACGACAGAACGAGAAAGAGAGAGATGCTTACACGTGTAAAAAAGAAGTGTACAGGTGCATGTGTAATCAGATAGAGACAGGCAAAGAGAGAGAGAGAGAGAGAGAGAAAACAAACAACCACAACAAAAAGAGACACAGGGGAGGGCAAGACAGAGCGATCTCCGTAAAACGCACCAAGACAATGAGAAGCAGCATCAGGAGGGGGGCCCATGAGGGGACGGTGGAGGCGCATCAGCAGCAACAACATGACGAGGAAGATGAACAGCTGAATAGAAGGTCACAACGCCCCCCCGTCCTCGCAAGCAAGGGAACAACTCCAAGGAACTCTGTAGCCACTCCTGCCCTCCCACCCTCCCGCGCCTGGAAGCGCTGCTGCATCTCAGCATCATAGCAACATAATCATCAGCGACACCAACATCATCAACTTCATCCTCATCTTCATCTTCATCATCTTCATCATTTTCATCTTCATCATCATCATCAACATCATCATTCGTCTACTCTTCCTTCTGGCTGAATCGCTGCAAGCAAATGCTTATGGAAGGATCCGGTCCGATTCCCTTCCGTCGGGGCAGCTGGAACACCAGCACGCGAAAACTGCCACCTCGTCGCGAGGCACCTCGTGGAATGCTCTCGAGTCCCTCGGAGCTGTCTGGTTTGGAGAACTGCAAGTGCTACTGAAGGGGCCCTGGGACACACAAATAAATGGACATACATAACAGGACTCCTTATATTTTCCAAATTGTTCTGGGTTTTTGTATTCCCCCCACTTCCCACATTCTGGAGAATCGATGATTAATTGTGTCTGTGTTTTTTTCCCCTCCTGAACTACTCCTGATCTCAAGCCCCAGTGCTCCATTTCACGGAAATGCCAAGGCGCTCACAAGGGCATCTTGGTCTTGCCGCGCGAATCGCCATCAGCACATCATCCCCGCCACCTCCATTATCAATGCCATCATCGTCATCGTCAATGTCGTCGCCCACGTCACCAACGCTAGCACATCATCACCACCACCATCACCATCACCATCACCATCATCATCATCATCATCATCATCATCATCATCATCATCATCATCGTCATCATCAACAACAAAATCATCATCGACCTCCCGCCCGAATCATGGACCTGCATGCGACGGATCATCGCATCATTTCGCGAATTGAACGTTGGGAGCAAAATGTGGGTGCGAGGGCGTGATTTCTGCGCGATCGTTGCACTTGGCATCTTCCGCTACATCAAGCAATTCTGCGTCCAAAGAGGAATCGGCTCTGGGGCCATCTCCCCCCAAGGGATTGTTATCGGACCCCTTAGGAGACTGCACACCGCGTATGACTTTGCCTCCTCGATCATTTTGAATTGGAATCCGCACCATCCCAGGCAGGCCAAATTCGGCAGACCCTCACCTCTGCCAAATACGTCTACGCGCGCACATTCCTGAATGTCACAACGAGCAGCGTCCAAGAATCCATTGCACCTAATCCACCCGCGCGGGCACATGTCGAAATTGTACTAATTTCATGCAATCAGATCACACATAGAAGCATGTTCTAAACAAGTTACCCATCGCAAAACATGCAGATGTTACTGCCCGCGCCTATTTGATGAAACCCTACGAGCATCATCTGAGTTTAGCAATTTCGCCCATACGCTGCATTGTCATCTCACCACTCGGTGCGTCCGCGTTGATCCGGCAGGCGCCCAACGCACGAATCAATATCAACAAATTCCATGCGGGCCACTCGCGCGCGCAGCCACGCCAGCCTTTTAAAACCCATTCAAAACAATAGTCCGCCGAGTTTCTTGCATTTCCGCGCGCGGAATTCCTCATCATCACCCTCAACGGCGCAGCCGCATCACGACGTCGTCATCGACAATCGCTGCCATTGCCGCCATCATCACACAATCACCTTCATCACCGGCACATGGATATCATCATCATCGTCATCGTTGTTGCTAGCCTCGGCACCATCATTGGCCTTGCCGTCGTCATCGTCATCATCGCCACCACCATCGCTACCATCAGCGTTGCCGTCGTCGTCGGCGGAATCATGATACCGCGCCCACCCGAGTCACCGACCCGCATTGGAGCCTCCACGCGCCAGCGCGGCCTTTGAGACGCGCTGGGAAGGTGCCATCGGTAAGCGCCATCGCGGCCGCATTGGCTGTGCAAAAACAGCCGACCGCTCTGCGCGCGAACTGCGCGCACCCAGCGCGGCCGCAGAGATGCGCCAGCTTGTGCCTACGAGCTTGCTAGATTCATACGGTTCCTAACGAATTCAGCAAATCCGCGCGGGCAGAAAACGCATTAAGAAAACAATTGGCCACTGTTGAGGAACCACAGTGGCAAGCATTGACTCCCGCTCGGTTGGGCATGGTTCTGGCGTGCTTGTCGTGTCAGGCTTCAGGAATCCCGAGACGGCCAGAGGAGGCCCCCAAGATCGCCCACAAAGGCCTCGAACAGGGCCCCAAAACGACCCAAGACGGCCCTACAGACTGCCAAGGCGGCCCCCGAACATCTCCACAATGGACTCCAAGAGGCCTTCCGAGACTCCAACAAACGCCTCGAATAACGCCTCTGGTCGTTCTGCTGGAATGGGCCGAACGTCACAAGATCCGCCGCCACTGCAAATTCATTGAGGTGTGCTCTTCGCGCGCCGAACTTTGGATCACTCTTTGGCCTTCAAAAAAGGTCCCTGCAATGTTCGGCCCGAACCATCGGCCATCCGGAAACACCGCCGTTTGCATTTCCGTCCAAGGTGGGCCCAGGAGGGTATCCCAAAGAAGTGCCCTGTTCAGCATCACATTGGTCCTAGATGGCCTGATGTCTCCAAGTAGGCTCACAGTGCCTCCAAAAGGGCCCATGATGCCTCAATAGGACCCAAGATGGCCTCAAGATGGCCTAATAGGCCCCCAGGATTTCTCAAGAGAATCCCGGCAATCCCAAACTGTGCCCAACGAGAGCCGCGAGAGGCAAAACTCATGAACCCCTTGCGCCGCTTGCGAGTTTCAATGCGGTTGGGTCCCAACCGCATCGGTATCACGAGCGTCGAAGATTGCCACGGAGGCCCCAAGCATCACATCAAGTCTGCCCAAATGTTCCACAACACTGCCCTCAAAGGGCCCAATGGGTACCCAATGCAGTCCCTCGTGGCCTCTCCTCCTTCTCCTCCTCCTCCTCATCATCCCCCCTCCTCCGTCCTCCTGCTCCTCCTCCTCCTCCTCCTCCTCCTCCTCCTGCGCCTCCTCCTCCTCTTTCTCTTCCTGATCCTCCTCCTCCTCCTCCTCCTCCTCCTCCTCCTCCTCCCTCCTCCTCCCTCCTCCTCCTCCTCCTCCTCCTCCTCCTCCTCCTGCTAACCGGCTGCCCCTGATAATCATCCCCGGGGGAAATACAGTTCGGGGTCTGGCGGGGATAATCAAGGATTTTCCTCGCGGGGGGTGATGATGATGATGATGATCATCATCATGATTATGATTATGATTATGATGATGATGCTGATGCTGATGATGATGATGATGATGATGATGATGATCGTGATCATGATGATGATGCTGATGCTGATCATGATGATGATCCTGGGCGCTCGTGTAGACTGGCCTTGCAGATCTTGGCACACAACTGGCTCGACAGATCTCGAGTCTGGGCGCTCGTGTGCCCTGACCTTGTAAATCTTGGCACAAAACTCACTCGACAGATGTCGAGTCTGGGCGCTCGTGTACACTGACCTTGTAAAACTTGGAGTCTCGGAGACTCGGGGAAGCTCGAGCCTGGGCAGCTGCGGGGGAGGAGGAGGAGGAGGAGGAGGAGGAGGAGGAGGAGGAGGAGGAGGAGGAGGAGGAGGAAGAGGAAGAGGAGGTGCCACGAACCGTGTGAGGGGTGCGCTAAAAGAAATAACTCCAATGCTCTGCCTGCTCGAAAAACGCAAGTAATTTCAAAACCCAATCGGTCCCCATGGCCCTGCCACACGTTCCTCACTCGGGAACGGCTGAGAAAGTGATAATCCCATGGAACTGCCGCATGCTCGTGACTTGAGGACTGAAATGGTGAGAATCCCATAGTCCTGCCACACGCTCGTGATTGCGAAAGCTGAAATGGTGAGACCACCATGAACATGCTCAGCGTGTTTGATGCTGTTGCTAGTCAACATATGATGATCGCAACTTCCTTCGCAACTTCCCCTGGGGATTAACAAGTTCGGCCTCGCCGCCCCTCCCCAGAATTAAATACAACTGACGCGGGATAATAAATATTCAGGGGGTAAGGGGGAGTACATTTTTATCCGGGGCATGCGGTAACTGCTCCGAGTGCTTTTGGATCACCCCCGCATCGCTGGACCGCGGCCGCGCCCCGCTCGCTGCGGGGCAATGCCTGGTGCGCTCTCGCAGCAGCACGCCGCCGAGGGAAAACAGCCCGTGGGGCGCTCCTGGCGACGCACGCCGCGGCGGGACTCGCGGCAGGCCGCCCCCAGTCGGGAGTGCGCCTGCTGCAGGCCGCGGAAGGCCAGCTGCGCGTGGAGGCGGCGAGCTTTCGGGCTCCCGCCAAGCCGCCGCCCGCTCCTGCTCTTGGCGCTGCTGCTGCCCCTGGGAGGCGGCGACGGCAACGTGGACGCGATGGTCGTGGCGGCGGAGCTGCGGGCGGCGGCGTGGCCGCTGCCGATGCAGACCGTGCCGACGGCGGTGTGACGAGCGGTGGCGCCGAGATGGACGGCGCCGTGGGGGGTGGTCGCCGGCCGCGGCCGCGGTCCTCCGTCTCCAGGAGGTCGCTGCCGCGCCCGCTGCCGAGATGCAGGACGCGCGGGACAGCGAGTGGGCGGACGGGCTGATGGCGGGCCGCGGCGCTGGCCTGGCCCCGCCCGCTCGGCGGTGGCAGCTCCACAGGACCGACACCGACGCGGTCGATGCTTGGGACGCGGCGGCGGCGTGCGCCATGCCTGCTTTTGGGGCGGGCGGCACCGCGGTCGCGGCCGAGCGCGAGGGCATCCTCGATGCGGGTCTGCAGGCGCTCCAGGCGAACCTGCGGGCCCTCGGAACGTCGGCGGCCAGGCGGCCGCCTCCTTGAAAGGCAAGGGGAAGCCCGTCTCGGAGGTTGGCTTCCTCCCGGTTGCGGTCGGCGTCGTGGCCAGGGGTCCTGCCCCGTCAAGGCCCCCTGCATCGTGTTCACGGTCGGGGGGTCCTGGCTCCTCAGGTGGAGCCCGGCCCCCCGCTCGGGGCGGGCCGCGGTTCGACTGGCCTCGCTCTATGGCGCGCTTCTCCTCCTCCTCCTCCTCCTCCTCCTCCTCCTCCTCCTCCTCCTCCTCCTCCTCCTCCTCCTCCTCCTCCTCCTCCTCCTCCCCCTCCTCCCCGGTACGGCCCAGAGAGGGGGCGACCTCCGAAACTAAAGCCCCATTTAGGATTTAGGGCCGCTGGCTTCTAAATTCCCTAATGTCTCGAAGCGCTCCCAGGCGCTCCCTGGCGCTCCCAACTCCAAAGACGGCCTCCGAAGGCGCGCCGGACGGCCCAAGAGCGTCCCGAGACGGCCGCAGATAGCCCCATAAGGGGACCCAACAGGTCGGCACAGAGCACCAAGGCAGTCACAAGATAGCCCCTCCCCAGTGTTCCCCCAATGGTCGAGTGGGGGATCGACTGTACAATTGATTTACCTCAAACTTGATTGTTCTTCGAGTATACGAAAATATGTGGAATGATCCGTATATCTACGAACATTCTATGTATCTGCCTGGCAAATTCGCGACGGGGGAATCAATATTGGGGTAAATCGATTTTTCAATCGAGCCCCTATTCGACATGATTGGAATCCAACTGCCCGCCACTGGCAATGGATATACACCACACCACCCCGACGTCGTCCCCGAACCGCAGAGACGTCCTGGGATTAAAACACAACCCGGAACTTGTAACGTATGTGCTCCAGTCTCCGACAATGGTCTGCCCACCAGCTGGAGGAACAAGCAGTCCACCAGCGTGGCTGCACTTTCGCCCTCCATTCTGCGACATGGGCGCCTGGAGAAGGCAGGGGCCAGCGGCAGCTCGCCGCTGGCGCCGGCGGCATCGCTTCCATGTACGTTTCGACGCCCGAGAGGGCGTGGAAACGAAATGATCAAAGACTATGGTAACACGTGGGGCTCGACTGGTAGGAGGCAACTACTGGTAAGTCTCGTCGGAAAACTGAAAAAGATTATCCTGGCGACGGACCCAACCAATGCAGTTGTGGGTACCGCAATTGTGAATATGTTCTTCGGTGGAGCTCCCTATGGGGCCACGAAGCGCTGCACTGGGTGGGGGGGGGGAACGCATGCGGGCGGTAGAACTGGGGCCGTCGGGCGAACTCCCTATGGGGCCATGAAGCGCCGTACTGGATGGGGTGAAGATGCCAAATTTGGTGTGTGGGACGCATGCGGGCGGTCCCACTGGTGGCTTCGGTGGGGCTCCCTATGGGGCCACGAAACGTATGAGGGGTGTGCCACATTTGGTTTCCAGGACGCATGCGGACGGTCCCACTGGGGACTTCGGTGGAGGATCCTATGGGGCCACGAAGCGCTGCACTGGGTGGGGGGGAACGCATGCGGGCGGTAGAACTTGGGCCGTCGGGCGAACTCCCTCTGGAGCCACGAAACGCCGTACTGGGTGGGGAGAAAATGCAAAACCTGGTGTGTGGGACGCATGCGGGCGGTCCCAATGGTGGCTTCGGTGGAGCTCCTATGGGGCCACGAAACGTATGAGGGGTGTGCCAAATTTGGCTTCCGGGACGCATGCGGGCGGTCCCACTGGGGGCTTCGGCGGAGCTCCCTATGGGGCCACGAAGCGTTGTACTGGGTGGGTGAAAATGCCAAATTGGGCTTCCGAGACGCATGCGGACGGTCCCACTGGGGGCTTCGGTGGAGCTCTCTACGGGGTTACGAAACGCCGTAGTGGGTGGTGTGAAAATACCGAAATTGTGTTTCAGGGACGTATGCGGACAATCCCACTGGAGGCTTCGGTGGGGCTCTCTATGGGGCCAAGAAACGCCGTACTGGGTGGGGTGAAAATGCCAAATTAAATTTCCGGGACGCATGCGGACAGTCCCAAGGGCTTCGGTGGGGCTCTCTATAGGGCCACGACGCGCTGTACAAGGGGGGGGACGCATGCAGACGGTAGCACTGGGACCTTCGGTGGGGCTCCCTATGGGGCCACGAAACGCTGTACTCGGTGGGGGGGACGCATGCGATGCGTAGCACTGGGACCTTCGGCGGGGCTCCCTGCGGGGCCACGAAACGCTTTACTGGGTGGGGGGGACGCATGCGGACGGTAGCACTGGGACCTTCGGTGGGGCTCCCTATGGGGCCACGAAGCGCTGTACTGGGTGGGGGGACGCATGCGGACGGTAGCACTGGACCTTCGGTGGGGCTCCCTATGGGGCCGCGAAACTACTGGGTGGGGGACGCATGCGACGGTAGCACTGGACCTTCGTGGACCCACGAAACGCTGCACTGGGTGGGTGGGACGCATGCGGACGGTAGCAAATGACCTTCGGTGGGGCTCCCTATGGGGCCACGAAACGCTGTACTGGGTGGGGGGGACGCATGCGGACGGTAGCACTGGGACCTTCGGTGGGGCTCCCTATGGGCCACGAAGCGCTGTACTGGGTGGGGGGGACGCATGCGGACGGTAGCACTGGGACCTTCGGTGGGGCTCCCTATGGGGCCACGAAACGCTGTACTGGGTGGGGGGGGCATGCGGACGGTAGCACTGGGACCTTCGGCGGGGCTCCCTGCGGGGCCACGAAACGCTGTACTGGGTGGGGGGGACGCATGCGGACGGTAGCACTGGGACCTTCGGTGGGGCTCCCTATGGGGCCACGAAACGCTGTACTCGGTGGGGGGGACGCATGCGGACGGTAGCACTGGGACCTTCGGTGGGGTTCCCTGTGGGCCCACGAAGCGCTGTACTGGGTGGGGGGGGACGCATGCGGACGGTAGCACTGGGACCTTCGGTGGAGCTCCCTATGGGGCCACGAAACGTGTGAGGGGTATGCTGAAACGGGTGATGATGATGATGCTGATGATGATGATGATAATGATGATGATGATGATGAGGATGATGATGATGATGATGATGATGCTGATGCTGATGCTGATGCTGATGCTGATGCTGATGCTGATGCTGATGCTGATGATGATGATGATGATGATGATGACGATGATGATGATGATAATGATGATGATGATGATGTTGGTGATATGGTGGTGATGGAGGTGGTGATGGAGGAGGGAGAAGGGGGAGGAAGAGAGGAGAGAAGGAGGAGGAGGAGGAGGAGGAGGAGGAACGCGGGGACCGTCTCTTCAAAACGAGGACCCAACAACACAAGTTGGTTGGGAATTAAGCCTCATTGGGGGGCTGTTACGCCAGAGTGGCCCTCGGATTCAGCGGGATTTGGCTGGATTAAGCGGGACGAAGCTGCTGGATTTAGCGGGAGTAAGCAGAATTTCTGACCGGGGCAAAATCAACATTTTACATCCCAGGAGTTGCATCCGAGCGATTGTAGCCCCGAGCCTTCCAGGGCCCCTAACATTCAGGAATGATTTGCCCGTGTATTGGCGGCGGTCCTGCGAACATCTGTAAGGCGGCAATCCAGCATGTTGCCTTTAGCTGATATACGCCGCAACCCCTTTCCCGTGCTAAATCATTGCAGCGATTCTGAAGCATGTTAGTCAACAACCCTTGCCACACCAAGACTTTACCTATCGCCTCAATCACAACGGCTACAGCTTGATAAATCCATCATTCTCCCGTTCTCAACTCTCACTGATCATCTATTCAACATGCACGCCCTCTCTAATCAATATGCCCGACTTCCACGTTATGATGCACAACCCTGCCCTCGCATGACCACTGCAAACAAACACATGTCCCCAGCTTTCCTCCGGGCAGATCTGTAGTGCTGTCCATCAGCATCCACGCAAAGTCCCGAACCAATTTTATGGAATGGCCCCACCTGTCGGTGCTCACCATTAGGAGAGCAGACAAGATACAGCATGAAACATGCAGTCGGGAGTTCATAGAGACCAGAAGGGCAAGACAACACATACAGCATAGCACTTCGCACTTCGAATATCATTATCATCCCTGCCCACATGCAGCGTTAAGAGCATGTATTGTTTCGTCAGTGCCTCTGAGACTCGCGTCATGAAACAACGTTGAATCACTGATGAGCCCTCCGTTCACCTTACATGGCCATCACGCTGCAGATAACAGTCTGCTAGGGACAGGCAACACTAGCCGTTGGAATCGAGGTATTCTCATTGACGGGGACTGGAAGATCGTAGTTCGAATCAGCACAAGCAACATCGGTACGTATTCCCCCACCGTGCCAAGAGGCATCGTGTTGAATATGGACATTGCCCTGGAAAGGACTGGGGGCCCGAAATGTTGGGAGATCTTGGGCGCTCTCGGCCGTTTCCTGGGCTTGTTGGGTGACCTCTCTGCAGGCATCACGGCCGCGGTTGGGATTCCACACGCGCAACTGTGTCTAAGATTGTTCCATGACCCGTCCTGGAGCCATCTTGGGACATCTTGGAGTCTCTGGGAGCCGAACTAAGAAGTCACAACAATTGAAACACGTTGTCGCTTGGTCTCTAAGAGCGCCGAAGACGGCCCAGGGTACTCCAAATATCGCCCCAAGACGGCTTCCAAGCCAACGAGAGGGCCCCCAAGGCCCCAATAGGGGTTCAGAAGCATCGAAGAGGCACCGAAGAGGCTCCCATGAGACCTTGGAGAGGCCCCGATGAAGCCTCCAAGAGGTTTCCGAAAAGACCCCAACATACATCGGACACGCTTCTGGCCCACGGCCCAGGCAGTGGCGGGGTGGTCATGCCACAGCGCATGAATGTGATGACACAGATGGCCTTCCCGTCGATAGTCAGAGTACACGTGTTCATGGTCAACGGCCTTCCGACACATGATTGATTGGGCAGTGCTAGACACGCAGTGTGCTGCATACTGGAAGAGCGCTGTCGCTTGCATGCTGGAACAGCGCTACTGCCAGCGTGCGCTGATGTGTACGTAAGGCTCTCTCGGATCACCCGAAGTTGTGACCAGAATGCACCAGGTGCGTCAGGATGAACAAGGCGCGACCCCAGCCGGAGTACGCACCAGCTGCTGACAGCATACGAGCACAATGCGACACGACCTGTAACACGAGAAACAATGTCACATGAGTTACGGCGGCGCACAGAAGGGGGTAGGGGGAGGGGGGAAGGCTCCTCAAAAGGACGCTGCTCCTTAGAAGGCGCGGGGGCGTTCCATCTACAGACAAGGCCAGCGCCTTCTAAGAAGCGGGGGTGCTTCTCAGAAGCCGTCCCCCCTCCCCCTACAATAGGGGCCCGATCACAAGAAACCTTCCACAAGAAACCCAACCCTACAGCAGGTGCTTCTTAGAAGCCTTCCACAAGAAACCCAACCCTGAGACGCCAGGGCACCCCTTGATGTTTGGTGTGGGAACGTCATGCCCTCCCTCGCAAGACAATCGAAACCCTTGAAACCCAGGGCACCCTGGAGGAAAAGCAGGGTGCATCTTGCCATGGTTCTCCACTGTGCCCCCCTTCTGCACGTGGCCGAGCGCTGGCGTTCAGTCCGGCCTGTCCCTCCACAGGAGACATACCCAAAAATAGCCCAACCATACTCCGGGGAGGATGCTCTGAACGCATTCTTGCATCTCATCTGCATGTCTGGTTCCAAAGACCAGCCTGCAGGAGGACATGCCGACCTGACGCTGGCGCCGTGCTGCGCCGCTCTGCGCCGGCTGCGTGCCGGACGCCCGTGCTGCCGTGCAGGCGGGCCCATCCCACGCCGCTGCACCGGCACGTGCTCGGCGGTGCGCTGCGCTGCTCTCCGCTGCTCCGCCTGCTCTGCATCTCGCCATCGCTCGGACGTCCGTTCCGCCTGCGCTTGCTGGGCTTCGCGCGTGTTTGTTGCTCGTCCGCAGGGTGGCCCAGGATGCTCCTCGATGGTCCCCACCGAGACAGGCGCGCACGCCTGAGCCATGCCAAGGCGTCGCACGTCACTGCCTGGCTCCCAATGGGCCCTCCTGTGGCTGGAGGCCCCCGGGTGCCATCCGCCGCGCCGCGCGCCTCCTCACAGACTTCCGCCCCCCCCCTCTCCCGCAGCATCCCCTCGCTGCCCCTGACCTCCGTCCGCGTGCCAAAGGCTGCACAGCCCTCACTTGGGGTAAGGAAAAATGACATAAACATGGTCCGCGCGGACTTCTCGGATCCGCGCTGGACCCCCCTCCCTGAGCGCGCCAGGGGCGGCGCTCGAGGCGCCGCCAGGGGGGTCCAGCGCCGATCCGAGAAATCCGCGCGGACCTCCGAGTTTGTACGTGTCTGTCATTGTTCGGTCCCCTACTCGCACGTCTGATGCCACCCCCTCAACGCATGGCCCCAATGCAGGAGCCTGCACTGCGGTTCCCCATTTCGGCACACGCCTCGCCACCAGGACCGTGCCTCGCAGGGAGCTCGACCAATGGTCCCGGTGGAGGAGCTCGCCTGCGCCCGCGCCCATGTCGACACACCCCTCAGGCGGATGGCGCTCCACAGGGAGTGCCACATACGGCCTCAGTGCAGGAACTCGCCCATGTCGGCACACGCCTCACGCAGATCGCGCTCCACAGGAAATTCCGACTACGGCCCCAGTGGAAGAACTCGCATGGCGCCGCCGCGCCCGTGACGGCACCCCTCTCACGCGGACCGCGCTCCACAGGACGCTCCACCTACGGCCCCAGTGGAGGAACTCGCATGGCGCCCCCATGCCCATGTCAAAACACCCCTCACTCGGATCGCGCTCAACAGGGAACTCCACCTACGGCCCTTGTGATGGAACCCGCATGGCGCCGCAGCGCCCATGTCGGCACACCTCTCAAGCGGATCGTGCTCCACAGGAAGCTCCACCCACGGCCCCAACGGGGGAACTCGCATGGCGCCGCAGCGCCCATGTCGACAAACCCCTCACGCGGATCGCGCTCCACAGGAAGCTCAGACTAGGGCCCTTGTGATGGAACTCGCATGGCGCCGCAGCGCCCACGTCGGCACACCCCTCACGCGGATCGCGCTTCACAGGAAGCGCCACCTACGGCCCCGTGGTAAAACTCGCATGGCGCCCCCCCCCGCCCATCGCGTTCCACAAGGAGCTCCACCTACGGCCCCAGCGGACCAACTCGCATGGAGGCGCCGGGCTCAGGTCGACACACCCCTCACGCGCATCGCTCTCCACGGGCTCCGCCTTCGGCCCCAGTGGAGGAACTCGTATGGCGGCGCCGCGCCCATGTCCACCCACCCCTCACGCGGATCGCGCTTCACAGGAAGCGCCACCTACGGCCCCGTGGTAAAACTCGCATGGCGCCCCCCCCGCCCATCGCGCTCCACAAGGAGCTCCACCTACGGCCCCAGCGGACCAACTCGCATGGCGGCGCCGGGCTCAGGTCGACACACCCCTCACGCGCATCGCGCTCCACGGGCTCCGCCTTCGGCCCCAGTGGAGGAACTCGCATGGCGGCGCCGCGCCCATGTCAACCCACCCCTCAAGCGGATCGCGCTCCACAGGGAGCGTCAACTACGGCCTCAGTGCAGGAACTCGCATGGCACCCCCCCCGCCCCACATGTCGGCACACTCCTCACGCAGATCGCGCTCCACAGGGAGCTCCACCTACGGCCCAACTGAGGAACTCGCATGGCGCCGCCGCGCCCATGTCGGCACACGCCTTCACGCGGACCGCGCTCCACAGGACGCTCCACCTACGGCCCCAGTGGAGGAACTCGCATGGCGCCCCCATGCCCATGTCAAAACACCCCTCACTCGGATCGCGCTCAACAGGGAACTCCACCTACGGCCCTTGTGATGGAACCCGCATGGCGCCGCAGCGCCCATGTCGGCACACCTCTCAAGCGGATCGTGCTCCACAGGAAGCTCCACCCACGGCCCCAACGGGGGAACTCGCATGGCGCCGCAGCGCCCATGTCGACAAACCCCTCACGCGGATCGCGCTCCACAGGAAGCTCAGACTAGGGCCCTTGTGATGGAACCCGCATGGCGCCGCAGCGCCCACGTCGGCACACCCCTCACGCGGATCGCGCTTCACAGGAAGCGCCACCTACGGCCCCGTGGTAAAACTCGCATGGCGCCCCCCCCCCGCCCATCGCGCTCCACAAGGAGCTCCACCTACGGCCCCAGCGGACCAACTCGCATGGAGGCGCCGGGCTCAGGTCGACACACCCCTCACGCGTATCGCTCTCCACGGGCTCCTCCTTCGGCCCCAGTGGAGGAACTCGCATGGCGGCGCCGCGCCCATGTCAACCCACCCCTCAAGCGGATCTCGCTCCACAGGGAGCGTCACCTACGGCCTCAGTGCAGGAACTCGCATGGCACCCCCCCCGCCCCACATGTCGGCACACTCCTCACGCAGATCGCGCTCCACAGGGAGCTCCACCTACGGCCCCAGTTGAGGAACTCGCATGGCGCCGCCGCGCCCATGTCGGCACACGCCTTCACGCGGATCGCGCTCCGCAGGAAGGTCCACCTACGGCCCTAGTGGAGGAACTCGCATGGCGCCGCAGCGCCCATGTCGAAACACCCCTCACGCAGATCGCGCTCCACAGGAAGCTCCATCTGTGACCCTCGAAGGGGCTCGGCACGCCTCTGCGTGCCTGCTCTGCAACCCCCCACTGCTCTGCCCCAGGGCGCGCCGTGCATGAGAAGAGGGCCGCGCCCCCCACTGCACGCAGCCGCAGAGGGATAGGCACCTCGCCAGGGCCATCGATCTTAGCTTACTTTATACAAGTGCGATGCCTTGCACGTCCTTGTGCAGTCCACTGTGGCTCGCACCTGCACCGCACAAGCGCTCAGATCATGGCGGGGGCATCCCCAAACGGCCCCACTACGGGAGGACACCGCCACCAGGGGAACCGTGGGGCAAAACGGAGCTTGGGAAAAGAGAGAGAGAGCCTCGCGGCAACGGAGAGGGCCCCGGCGGCCGGCGGACAAGGTACGATACACCACAAGCGAGCCAAAAGCGAAATGTCGGCTGCTGGGCTCAAAGCACCCTCCATCCCGGCTTCGTCGGCCCGCACTTTCCTGGCCCCCTGAGAGGAGGCGGGGCGCTCGTCGCCACGGGGTGGCCCCGGAACGCCAGCGGACACCGTGAAAAGAAACATGGGAAAATCGGGAATCTCTAGCGGAACTCTGGCAGCGCGCTCGCTTCGAGGATACGGTAAGATACGCACGAGCACCGACCAATACAGTTCGTCCGACTGCTGCCCAAAACTTGACGAAGCAATGCGCCTGCTCTTTACCGCCATGGGTAAGCGCCCACCTTGAAGCAGCTAGCCTCGTCACCCGGGAAGGCGACCAAGGTGGACGCATTGGCCTTGAGCCTCGAGCGTATGACAGAAAGCGAAAGTCATCGAGACACATTGTGGGATACTGCAATGGACAAGACAACAATGAGCAACATCAGCACGATCAATGCATGCGCCGACGTCTGCATTATATAATGTGAGCAGGCGTGGGCCCAACACAATGATGCATTGCACTGTGAAGGAGTAGGGTATGCTGCGCAAGCAATATGGTATAAACTGCGCTATGTTAGCTATGAGGTGTCAATATGTATCGTGATCTCTCTCTCTCTCTGTGCCAACGTATGTACCAATAATTATGTGAAGCTCCATATACATACATACACATATATATATATAAGATACACACATATGTGTCTTGCGGGGACACCATGCGACCACTACCACATCGCGAACGCACCCTGGGGGTGTTTTGTGAATGCCAACAATCATCAGAGCACCGTGACTAGCTTAGTACTAGATGTGGTCGATGTGGGCATCCCAGACGGCCAGATCGACCACAACCACAATCAAACTGCTCATGTTGAAGTAAGCGGGATCTCCCCCGAGGGCTTCTCTAGAAACATCCACTTACTTGTGGCTGTGTTGTGTTGTGCCCGGGTACATGTACATGAGCTAGGCTGCGAGATCGGTGCATGTGGTGTGAGCTGCGTGGTGGAAACGAATCCAGGTAGCATAATTATGTCATGCAAGCTGCGTTGCGTGTGCTATATGGCGTGAGCCATGTGGTGTGAACTGTGCGCCGCAAGCTATGTGGCACAAGCTGTCGTGTAAGCTACGTGAGTGGTGCAAGTGCACGCGGTGCCCGCGGAGGGCCAACGAGCGGGCACGGGGTGCCAGCGCGGCGAAACCTTGGGAGACCTATCCAACGCACGGGGCGAGGCGATCACGAGCAGGCACTGGCGCCAGCGCGGCGAAACCTCGGGGAACCGACCCCGCGCACGGGGCGCGCCCACGAAAAGCACAGGCGCGGGCACGAAGTGCCAGCGTGGCGAGAACCAGGGGAGCCCGTTCGCTTACTCAGGCTGACCAGGTGAGAACCCCCATAGGGCAAGGCCTGTTTGCGGAGCGTGGATATCCGGGTGCGATCCCGATGTCTGCTTCTCTGCAGCCGTCGTCCAACATTCCGATTCAGCAACTCGTGCTTCACTCGAGACCTTCGACCACGGTACACGCAGAGGAAGGTGCAACGACCTCGAGACACTGCCCGTCGCTACAGAGAGAAGATGCACATCGAGGCCATGCAACGTTCGACCATGACAGTGCACTGAATCCGACCACGAGAACGACGGATCCGGACACAAACAGTAACAAAAAGACATTCCGGCTGGACTGCCCTCATGGCACCCCCCTCCTTAATACACGGAAAATCCAAACCGACGGAAAACGAGAAACCGACGGACAGGATGGACTGCGCTACGATGCCATGCCTGCCAGGGGCATGGCTTGCCAAACAAGAAAAAGCATGCGCTTGCGACGCCGCAGAGGACAGATAATGTTGGCATTCACCTAGTCCTGGTTGTAGTTAGCAAGGCGTGGTTTAGTCAGGCCTAGTCTTAGGCACGCGCGCATTTTGTTCAGCCTGGTGCTTAAATTAAGCCTGGATGTTGTTAGGCGTGACTTTCGTTGGTTCTGCTGTTCGGTACGCGCGCATTTAGTTCAGCCTGGTGTTTGCTATAGTTAAGCCTGGTAGTTCTGATTTAGCCTGGAATTTTAGTTGGGCTTTTTTAGGGGGCTAAGCCTGGCGCCTTAAGTATGCCTGTTTTAGGCGCACGCGCACTTAATCAAGCCTGGTGTTTTACTTAAGCCTGGTAGTTCCACTTCTGCCTGGAAGTTTAGTTTGGTCGTTGTTTTAGGTATGGTTGTTGTCAGGCGTACATTTCTGTGAACGCGCATTTAGTTCTGCCCAATGCATGGTAGCTTAGTACGGCCTTAGTTTTAGTTGAGTCTGGTGGTTGAGTTGAGCCTGGTTGTAGCTCGGTATAGTTTTAACAGGCCAGGTATCAGCTATGCGCGCCTGTAGTTCAGCCTGGTATGTTAGGTAAGCCTGGTAGTTGTAGTTCAGCCTGGCAGTTGGGCTAGCTGTCTTCCAAGAATCCTGATGGGTTTGATTCAACCTGGATATGTTTAGGCGTGGCTTTCGTTCGGTCTGGTGTTCGGTACGCCCCCATTTAGTTCAGCCGGGTATCTTAGTTAAGCGTGGTAGTTTTAAGTTCGACCTGAACTTTTAGTTCAGCTGTTTAGTTAAAGCCTGGGCACCTGTTGGGCACCTGTTGGGCTGACTGAGCGAAATCCAGCAAGGCAGACTGGTCGTGTCCTCGATATTGGAACAATGGCATGTGGTTGCAGATGTCTCTGTTTCATCAACTTAATTAGCTGGCCTGCCACGCTAAGTGAATTCAGCGCCTTTTGGCGATGAGCACGTGCTAAACCGAAAACCTCGCTGGATGTATCGCGATCTTGCCGCCAGGGGTGCGAATCGAGCCCAGACATGTGCTTTTAACCTCCTCGCAATCAGCTTTGAACACGCCAGAGCCACAACACCCTGAAGTATTTGCATTTAGTGTAGACCCACATCGGCTTGATGCTTTTGTTGTCTGCGATCGGGCAGGAGCGCGCATCAAACCAAATTATCTCCAGGCCTAAACTAAATGCGCGCGCGCCCACAACCAGGCCGAACCAAAACACGACACTTACCGAAAACAAAAGGCTCACCGAGAACACTCGTGCGAGATACGGAACTGAAAACACGCGTACCTAAAACCACGCCAGACTAAAACCAGGCGGAGCTACAATACCACGCTCAACTAACAACACGAAGTTTGACAACACACGCGCGTACCGGAAAGCATGCCTGGTACACGCAAAAATCACGCCGAACCAAAACCACCCCCCTCTGCCAAGGCTAAACCAACGTATGTCATGACCCTCGGACACCCAGTACGAGTTGGAGCTCCTAGGGAAAACGGTAGAGGTTCGTTATGGGGGACCGAGCAACCCAATTAAGTATCAGTTGTTCGTTTGCGTCGGTGTGATGAGGCTTCCGTCGGTTAGTGCAAGTTTTCGAACATTTGGGGGAACTCCACGCTCGTGGGGCTGTCACAGACCCGGCTCCAATGTGCAAGCGTACGCGTCACAGACTGAAGTCGTTGTACGCACTGCTCCCCCATACACACACACACACACGCACATTTCGATCACTGATTATTCTTCGGTTCTTCAGCCAAAAAGGACACCATTCGCTTGTACAGCCAGGCTGTTGGAGCTGCCTGTGGCTGCGCTTCTGGCCAAAAAGACTACGGCTGAAGGCTGCTGTTGGTGTGTTGTCTCTGATAATGCTTTCTTCCTCTGAGCTGGCCCGATAACAATGTGCGAGTCCGTGGCGCTTCCAGCTGTGCAGGACTCACGCAACCTGTCCGTGGCATCACCAGCTGGCCCCTCCCTCGAACCTACATGGTAACGGAGGTCTGCTGCGCTGCTACTCCCTGCGCCCCTCCCACCTCCTCCCAGCAGGCCCCCTGGGTGAGCCAGCACTGGCCCCCACCGAACACGAAGGTATTGCAGGACGCGCGCTTGTCGCACGCGTCCGCGCAGGACTGCCTCGACGGCGCCTGCGGCCGCTGGGTCCCCTCCAAGGCGTCGTCGACTTCGTCGCCACCGCCACTGTCTGCTTCTCAACCCTCCTATGGTAGGAGGTCCTCGCTTGGGGGGTCCAGCGCCGCGCCCCGCCCTCTCCTCCCGACTCCCCCTCCATCCTCATCATCCTCGTCCTCTTCCTGCCTCCGCCCCCGCCAAGCTCGGCGCACTTGCCACGCGTGCTGTGCCCCACAGGGAGCTCAGCCTGCGGCCCCACCAACACCGTTCGCATCTCGGCCCCTGCCCATTTCGGCATATCCCTCACACGGATCGTGCCCCTACGGACCTGTGCCGGA